ATGTATAATACTTTCCACAAGCACAAGGTAGGAGAAAAAAAAACTAGAAATCTGGGGAAATGAGCCTGCCATATTATCAGACAGTTTATAAAGCAAATTGATTTTTCATACTACAAGTTCAATTTTGTAGAAGTCATCTTTTGTGAATAAATACAAAAATATTAAGAACACCGATGAATTTGTCGATTTATCTTTCTTGACAACTATAACGTCAATAAATCACGACTTATTCTTTCTCGTTTCTTCGTTCCTCGATGGAAAGTGCCCATGAAAATGAATTTCTTCCGCCGCAAATTGAAGAAGCTGCCATAAAGCTGTTTTTGAATTATTGCCTAGTAAGTCAAAGCGACAGTACGAGTTTTCATACGAACGTTTCTTGAAATGGTGTGATCAGAAAAATGTCAGTGGAAAGGAGGCCAGTGAAAAAGTGCTTCTTGCATACTTTGAAGAAAAGTCCAAAATATGGAAATCGTCAACGCTTTGATCGAATTACTCTATGTTAAAGTCGATGATGAACATAAATGATCATGACATAAGCAGATATCACAAGCTTGTGGTTTTTTTGAAGCGAAAGGATGAAGGATATCGACCGAAAAAGTCAAAAGTATTGACAAGAGAACAAATCGACAAATTTCTCGCAGAAGCCCCAGATGAAATATATCTAATGCAGGAAGTTGCTGCGATTTTTTGTGTTTTTGTAGCCTGTCGCCGAGAAGAACTGTGCGGTTTGACATTAAATAATATCGAGGATTCCGAGACTTCACTAGTTGTGCATATACCAGACACAAAAACTAATGTGCAACGCCCCTTTGTTGTAAGTGGTACATTGTATACGAACCACTACAAAAAGTACATAGCCCTTCGTCCAGTGGATATTAATAATTCTAGAGTTCTTATAAAATGCATTAAAAATAAATGTGCCAGGACTCCAGTTGGAATCAACACATTTGGTAAGATGCCTGCCAAAATTGCGAATTTCTTAATTTGCCTGATTCCCATCTATATACTGGACATTGTTTCCGACGTTCCTCAGCTAGTTTGTTGGCGGACTCTGGTGCTAGTCTTACTACAATTAAAAGACATGGTGGATGGAAGTAGCAGTACAGTAGCAGACTCGCTACAAAGGAAAACGAACATTGCAGATCAAATTTTGTCGAAAACTTCGGTAGATAATATTGCTCTCTGCCCTGGTACAAGCTTCACGAAAATAAATTCTGTCACATCTACCAATGAGACTGGCCATGGAGTTTCGTATTATAATTGTAGTTTCGCTAATTGTACTTTTAATTGAATAAACACTTCATTTTGAATTATGTTTACATATTTTCTAATAAAAATAAATCACTGACATTTTAGACACTGACAGCATGCGTCAAAAATTATACTTTTACTGACGTTTGTAGATAATTTAGGCCTCATTGATTTGAAGAGTGCAAAAACCTGAACGAAATGATATGTAGGTGTAGAGCCGATCCTGGATAACAAGAGTGGGTGGTAATGATTGTAGTGAAAGACGGAAAAATCTTTCAAATGAATGTCAATGACAATAGTGCAATGTATACCTATAATAATAATAATTCTCTCGTATACATTCATGATGTAATTGTTCACTATTTCAAGAGAACAAAGGGTGTACCTATATAGTAGATGAGCTTTCAATCATTTTAGTATTATAACGATGCAGAAAAATGTGAAATATGTACATGCACAGTGTTTATTAGAAAGCATAATTACTCGAAATGAGAACAATTTTCACATGCAAAGATAAAATATTTTTCCCATGATGATAATGATACGGATTGCAAATCAATACGCAGTAAAAGTAATTATGCAAACAAACGGTATACAGAAAATACGTAACGTTTATTTTGCCAATAAAAATATGTACTCGAATGGAATTACTAGGAATATAAAACAAATATACTTGGATTGTGGTTTTCCGGTTAAAAAAATGTGTTCGAAACGGTTAATGATGAAATATTAAAATTGTGTATATACAGGGTTGGGCAAAAGTATGGAACCAGGTGAATATCGCGGTGACCGTTTGCTAGATTTTTTTAAATATATGAACAGGGTGATTTCAATACGTGGTGGATTTGAAAATGTTATCGTCAAAGTTGCCACTTTTCCAGTTATTCCGGAATTATTATCAATTTCCTTATTTTAAATAAAACACCCTGTATTTCATTGAATTTTTAGATTCTCCCTGAAAAGCTGATTCCATCGATTCATCACACTTGGGGTCTAGCAAGGATGACTACTGAGATATAGGGTGTTCAAAATCGAGATTTTTCAACTTTAGGATTTTTTTGTGTCGAAACTATTCATTATCGGTCGAAGCGGCTTCTATGTCCCTGTCTTAACTTTTGATCGACTATCTATTGGTATTTAATGGAAACAGATACAGGGTGATCAGATTTCTGAATCTTGAACCACCCTGTATTTGTTTCAATTAAAAATAATGAATAGTTTCAACACAAAAAAGTCCTAAAGTTGAAAAATCTCGACTTTGAACACCCTATATCTCAGTAGCCATTCTTGCTAGACCCCAAGTGGGATGAATCGATGAAATCAGCTTCTCAGGGAGAATCTGTAATACAATAAAATACAGGGTGGTCTATTTAAAATAATGAAGTTGATAATAATTCCGGAATAACTGAAAAAGTGGCAACATCGACGATAACATTTTCGAATCCATCACGTATTAAAATCACCCTGTACATAAATTAAAAAAATCTAACAAACGTTTACCGAGATATTCACCTGGTTCCATACTTTTGCCCAACCCTGTATGTTTGTATATTGTTTTTGGAAGTATAACAAATTGATATTCAGGACGTGAAAAGAAAATTCGTTATAGTTCTAGTTATATAAAGAGATGAAGATTTTGTATGTCATGAAAAATGGCTGAAAGAATAACTTCAGGTTACTGAGGAGGGTTTGATATCCGAAATGAGTTCATTCGAATTAAGTCATATAACCTTCCCATATCACTGATACGAATGATTTTTTTTAAATTTCAAGCTCATCAAGATTAGAGTTGTCAATTCGCAATTTCAGAGGATTTTTATTTTTCATGCCCTCCTTTTGGATGTTCAACATCAGATATAATTCAATGTTCGTCGTGGCATATAGCCAGGAAAGTAGTTGTTTTTTGTTGAATGAACCGAGAAAGAATCGATAATTTCATCACCATGGAGAATTTTAATTCTCAATGTACTTCTTTATATACAGGGTGACTCAGGATTATTCTGAAAAGTTGGTGCCTTAGATAATCAGTTGTGTTCCATCGACCTAAAATATTCAGTGTTGCGACGTTGCCGCTTATATTGAAAGGTACCAACAACTTTGATTTTTTCAATGGAACATCCTGTATATCATTCCATTTTCAGATTCCCCCTGAAGAGCTCATTCCATCGATCTATCACACTTGGGGTCTAGCGGGAATGATATCAAAGATATATAGGGTGAAAAACCGAAATTTTTCAACTTGAAGAATTTTTCGTGTAGAAACTATTCATAATTGATCATAACGGTTTTCATGTCACTGCCTTAACTTTTCATGTACTATCAATTAATATTTAATTGAAACAAATCAGAATTGAGATTTTTGACCACCCTGTGGTTTGTCACGCTTTTAGGGATCACCCTGTAGAACATTTGATAAGGGCTGTGGAAAGGCATCATTGCGCCGGCATTCAACTTCCGCATCTCGTTTTTTTCGTCCCGTCAAAAAATTAGGTATATATAGGGGTGGCCTTTTCGTTGGATAACCCTGTACAGGGTGGGCCAAATTGCTCACTTTTAAAGGAAAAGTCCTATATTCTCCAACAAGATAGAAGAAAACTGATGTCGGTGCCTGAGGGTCGATTCTCATGCAAAACTCAATGGTGAAAACCGCATATCGATATCTGCCTCCGTTTTGGGAGTTACAAGGTGACATTTTTGAAAAGTGGCTACAAATATTTTTTTTGCAAGAATTGTATGTTCTCATGAAAATAACTGCAAAGCATTGAACTTGTGATAAAAATCATTCGATCCTGAGGCACAGAAGTCGGCCTTCCTATATCTTGTTCAAGAATATAACTTGTCCTTCTAGAAGGAAGTTCGATTTCGAAACTAGGTATATGGTGACTGATTACAGGGCCTGAGGATCAATTTTCATGACAAACACAATGCTTTGGAGATGTTTTTATGGAAACGAAGAAATTTTGACAAGAAATTAGTTTCATTTTTTCGAAAAACACCTTGTAACTCTGAAACGAAGAGAGATATCGATATGCAGTTTCCACTCTTGAGTTCTTCCTGTGAATTGATCAACAGGCACCAACATCAGTTTTTTTCCTAACTAGTACGGGAAGCGATTTTACTAAATATACAGTACGCTAGCACAAACCACGCCCACCGTAATATCTCATCTTCGAAGTACTTAGGCAAAACTCAGAGACTATTTATCCTTAACGAACTAACCTATCCCTGATTGCAATATTTTTGAGGAAGGAAAACCGAATGGAGTGTAGAAACACATTGATTAATAATATATTTCAAAAGTTGAGTTCTTCAACAAAATTGAATAAAATGAGACTGTTTATCCTAAACGCACTAACCTATTTGACTTCAAATATTTTCTGAAAAAGGAAAACCAGAATGGTGAAAAAAAAAGTTCAAGTTCACAGCGATTCGAACCATGGACCTTCAGACTGAAAGTCTGACAGCGCTAACCAGTAGACCATTTGGGTATATGAATTTGGGTACAAGAGATTGACAACGAGAGAGCTTCAGTCGAATTCGTGTCAAAATCATAAAAAGTGTATTCTTGCGTTGGAGCAAAGTATATTTAGTGCGATGTGCTGACTCCGAGTATATCGGTAATGTTTGGAGATATGACGTATTATGGTGGGCGTGGTTTGTGCTAGCGTGCAGTATATTTAGTAAAATCGCGTACGGGAATACTACTTTCCCTTCAAAAGTGTCTTATTTGGCATACCCTGTACACTCACCTTCAAATTTCTCATTTGTTTGGCCATGTTGATCAGTTCTCTGACTCCTCTGACGTTTATGTGCGTGGCCAATTTGAGTTTCTCGTCGAATCTCACTGTGGCCGCGAAATGGAATATGCAGTTGACTTCGGCTATCACCAATTCCTGATCTTCTTTGCTCATTCCCAGCTCCGGCAAACCGACGTCACCGTTCACCAAGCGGATTTTTTCCGTGAAATTGGGGTGTTTCCTCCTCAGGGGATCGAAACTCTGAAAAAAATAATATATTTTTAACGGGCACGGAGTGATACCTGGTATTTTCATACTAGAAACGGGATGTTTGATACATAGCAAATATTCGGGAAACGTACATGCTAATGCTCATCATCACACACGAAAAGCATCCAATTGGCCCTTACCAAAACCTTATTCCAATCTCACGAAGAATTGGAAGGATTCTGCCGCCTGGTGTTTGATGAGAACTCGACCTCCCTGCCGATTGATCGACGGATGACTCGTTAGCTCAATTGGCAGAGCGTTGGGCATGTAACCCAGAGGTTGTGAGTTCGACTCTCACACGAGGCAGTGGAGTTTCTTCATTTTCCATTGTCACCCGAAATTCGGGCTTTCCATCTTCATCATTCATTATATGTATCTTTTCGGTTGAGTAACCGACAAAAATATTCAAGGCGAAGCCAGAGCAGTCGTGAGTAGATTGTCAAGGGGTCAAGCACCCATAAGCAACGCGCACGGTAAAGACTATAGGAAGCTATATGAAGAGTTGGAAAGCGACTTCATCATGGGGATGCCAACGGATGGCATAATTCCAAAAGATAGCTTTGAAAAAACTTTTAAAATAAGTATAACGGACAGAGATGCATGGAAGGAAGGACCTCCTATCAATGCAGACTTTGCTGTATATACGGACGGCTCCAAAACTGATGAAGGATCAGGAGCTGGTATTTATGGGGCCAAGCCAAAGACAAGAATCTCACTGAGCTTAGGCAAATACGCGATGGTGTTTCAGGCAGAAATTATTGCAATACATCATTGCGTGAAAGAATTGATAAGGCAAGAGTTTAAAGGCAAAACCATTGCAATCTATTCAGATAGCCAGGCGGCAATCAAAGCAGTCAACTCTATGCAAGTTAACTCAAAACTAGTATGGGACTGCTTAGAAACCCTGAATGCACTGGGCAGTCAGAACAGATTGACTCTTGCATGGGTACCAGCACATACAGGGTACGAGGGCAATGAGGAGGCAGACTCACTTGCCCGAGCAGGAGCAAACAAAGCTCTTAATGGCCCAGAACCCTTCTGTGGTATTGCGAAAGCTATACAAAAGACTAGTATCAAATCATGGATGCAAACCAAATCTCAAGAATGGTGGAACAACTCGCCAGGAATGAGACAGGCTAAAGAGTTTATTGAAAAACCATCGCCAACATTCACAGAATATCTACTAAGCCAGAAACGAAGTTCAACTAGAATACTAGTGGGACTTCTCACAGGGCATTGTAGGCTCAACAAACACATGAGTACGATAGGTCTGGCTGAAGAACTGCTGTGCAGGTTCTGTCAAGAAGGGGAAGAAACAGCAGTACACATACTTTGCCACTGTGAGGGCTTGTCAAGACTAAGGTTCCTTACGCTGGGTAAGGAAAAACCAGGAGCCCAGAGATACACAGGAGATCTGAAAGCTAGCCTATGGAGTCTCATAGAGAAGGCGGGGCTAGCCGAAGAACTCTAATCGATTTTGAGGGCAGACACAATAGATCTAAAAAGGTCGCAGTGTGGAGGCAGATAGCCCGAAGGCCCCATTCCAAATCTAATCTAATCTAACCGACAAAAATTCTGACTTGGCTCCTATGTATGATTGCCTTCGAACATTTCCGTATACAAGGAAAGACAATGCCAGAGGACGAACGGGGAAATCCATCCTGCCAGCGATGCTTCGTATAGTGTATGATTTCGAGTGACTTCGGGAATTGGAAGGATTCTGCCGCCTGGTGATTGATGAGAACTCGACCTCCCTGCCGAATGATCGACGGATGACTCGTTAGCTCAATTGGCAGAGCGTTGGGCATGTAACCCAGAGGTTGTGAGTTCGACTCTCACACGGGGCGGTGGAGTTTTTTCATCTTCCATTTTCACTCGAAATTAGGGCTGTCCATGCGTGCGTAATATGCTTCTTAAAACACATATTACGTAATATAGTATTATCTTTCCGTTTCAATGAAAAACAATGACTCACCGGTACGTCGAACATCTCCTCATACCTCTTCTGCGTATCCTTGCCTTTCTTTGGCCTTACGAGGATGTAAACCTTATCGAGGTCGTAACACGCCCTGAGCAGCTTCTCCAGACACAGCTTCCCCAGGAATCCTGTCCCGCCGGTAATGAAGATCGTCGAGCTCTTGTAGAAGTCCAAAAGGTCGCTGTCTTGCGCAGGCACCACCATGTCGGAGGCAGTGATGTCGTTGCCCTCTCTCTCGTTCAGTCGCCGCTCTTGCTCTAGGTCCACCATTTCAGGTACCTATTCTGAAAAGAGAGATTGAAAGTCTTCTAAAGTCGTATATAACATTATTGGAAGGGATTAGACCTCTGTTCTCAAGTGATTAGACGTATCAGAAAGTAATCTTAAGTCATACCAAGTCTTTTCAAAGGTACCTGGGGAGTCTTTGGACGTATTGAGCAGTTTCTGGGAGTTATTGAAAGTCTTCTTAAATCATTAAACGTATCCGGGGCTACGTCTTTGAAATTCATCGAGAGTCTTCGAAAATCATTGGACATCTTTTGAAGGGCATCAGAAGGGTCTCGGGTAATCTTCGAAAGTAGCCTTCGAAAGTAATTGGACATCTTTCAAAGTAGGATTCTCCGAAGGTCATTAGAAGTTTTTGAAAGTCATTGAAAGTCTTCAAAAGTCATTATAGGCATTCAAAAGGGTCTTCACAGAACATCGGACTCTTTAGAAAGTATTTGAAGCACTTTAGAACTCTTCATGAGTCATTAGACTTCTTCAGTTGGTTAAAGTTATTGAACATCTTATATGGAGGTCACAAGACGCCTTGAAGTCATGCGTCGTCTTTTTTCGAATAATGATTGAATGAATGAAGCATCTGTGGACATTCGCTAAAGTAAGCCCTTTTCGAGATATTTCAGTTTTAAGTGTTCGATGCCGCACCGGATTATTTGAATTATTATAACTGTGTTTCGAAAACGGAGCAATTTCGGACTCCAAATCGGCTTATTTAGATCACAGCATTAAATAACTCTTTATCAGCATACAAAGTGCTCTTCACAGAAAAATACAGAATAAGCAAAAAAAAAAAAAACAACACAAGTATCACAAATAACAAAAGTCCTTCAAAAGATAAAAACAGTTACAACATATTGAAAGCTACTTTCACAAAATATAATTTCATACTATTAAAACTGTTTGATTACATAGTCAAAGTCGTGAGGTTTTTTGCCTCATAGGGTAGGCTATTGAAGAGTATTAAACCTTTATTAAATACTATGTCATAATGCATGTTATCCATTCGAATATAAAAATCATTTGCAGTTCGAGTTCTAGTCTCATGAGTGTGTACATTTTCAATATAACTTAATTCGTCACTGAGGTAGGTTGGTAACATACTGTTTTTCATCTTGAACACAAATACCAACATATTGTAATGAATTCTTTGTTTCACAGACATCAATGATAATGTATCTGACATATTTTTTATTGGATTACGTTTGTTACACATGAGTATAGCTCTCATGGCACGATTTTGTGTTTTTTGAATTATATTCAACTGGTCATTATTAAGAAAAAATAAAAGGGTTCCACAATAATCGAAGTGAGGTGCTATTATAGACTTGTAAATGGTCAACTTAGAAAAAAAAGAAACTTTACCATTGAGCCTGTACAAAAAGTGGGTTTTCTTTGCAATCGTTTTCTTTAGATAATCACAGTGTGCATTCATATTCAATTCTTCATCAATCATTACTCCCAAGTACTTATAGGTTTTTACAGTCTCAATTATGCCATTACTAGCATCAAGGTCATTTGAAACAATTCGTTTTTCAATGTTTTATGTTTGTTTTTGTTAGCTATCAACATACATTTGGTCTTTTCAAGATTCAGCATCAGTCCATTATCATACAACCATGAGAAGATACGACTCAAGTCCTCATTTAAAGATGATTCAACTTCTTCTGGTTCACCAGCAAAGTATCATCAGCGAATAATTTCAATTTACATTTTTTTACTAGTTTGATGATATCGTTAATATACAAAATAAATAATATCGGTCCCAATATTGAACCCTGGGGGACTCCATATTGAGTTTTCAGTTTACGAGAAAATACATTGTTATACTTTACTATTTGTGTTCTATGTCGTAAATAACTTTCGAACCAATTCATATTGCCTGTAATTCCATATCTATTGAGTTTTAACAACAATAAATCTATGTTGATAGTTTCAAAAGCACGCTTGAAATCCAAAAATACAACTCCTATCACCTTTTTTTGCTAATATTTGTTTTCCATTGGGATATTAAAAATTGCAGGGAAGTCTCACAAGAGTGAGATTGTCGAAAGCCAGATTGCTTTGATGATTATATCGTCATCTCCAAGAAATTTCAGCAGCTGATCTTTAACGACCAGTTCCAACATTATGTGCTAAGATTTTGTGAAGACCTTCGAGGGACACCCTGTATACATAGTCATTGACATTACGCACATCTTCGTCATTGATCTTAGTTATAAAAATGTATTGTTAGAAAACAAGAAGGCAAGGTCAGCTAGTGTCAGCAATGTTAGCAATGTTGTTTTAAGGTAATATACAGGGTGATTCAGGTTTTAAGGTACAAACTGAAATGGGTGATATATCTCATCGTTTTAATTAAAAAAGTTCATAGAAACATGAGTCCGATCTCGATCAGTAGCGGAGCTACAGAGGATCAAATTTTAATTTATTTTTACAATAATTGAAATATCTCGCTCACTTTTGAAGATATCAACTTTTAATTTGGTGTATATAGTTAATACTTCCTAGGAAATCATTATTTTAAGCATTCTGAAACTTCTTAAAACCTACAGAGTGATATGTTTTTGGGTATAGAGGATTCTTTATTCCCCCAAACTTATTTTGACTACGCTTCTGACATCTCCAAGTTACCAAATCGAATGGATCGTTCAATTTGGAGGCTTTTTTCGCCTCTCACTTTTTTCCGAGAAAAAAGCCGTTTTCGAGATAAATAAGCATATTTGTTCTAAAACATGTGAATTTCATCTTCTTTTTCTCTTGAATTTTAGTCGTGTACAACATTTGCTAACAATATTGACAATGACGAATAGTTGAAAATATGTTTATTGTGATATAGCAAATTACCATAATTCACATGTAACTCAATTATTTATTAGCTTATGTCCATTGTTGACCGTACATTTTTTCCGACAGGTAGAATGCTATATTATTTTCCAATTTCTCTAATGATATTGAGAAAGATATTAGATACAACTGGATGGGGCTGAACCAGTGGTTTAACACGAATTTTCCGCGTCGTTGTATCGGTCGGTTCAAAGTAACCTGACCTTCTACCCTCTGTATACCCGCTACTGATCCAGATTGGACACATGCTTAAAGACATTGCAATTTTAGTAAGTACATTTCATTGCATTCTCAAGAATAAAATTCAAGCGAAACATATGCAAAATCGCGCGAAATTAACATTTTATAGAATGATATGCTGCTTATTTATCTCGGAAACAGTTCGTTTCTAGAAAAGAATTGAAACGGAAAAAAGCCTTTAAATTGAACGATCCACCCTATTTGGTAACTGGAAGATGTCAAAGGCGTACTACGAAAAAGTTTGGGTGGGAGTAGGATAAAGAAGCCTCTACACAAAAATGATGAATGAAAGATAAATCTTTAAAATGCTTCAATTGATATCTCTAGAAGTGAGCGAGATATTTCAATTGATAATAAAAAATAATTACATTTTTACCTTTCGTAGCTCCGCTACTGACCGAGATAGGACCAATGATTATATAAACTTTTTTGATTAAAATGATGAGATCTATCGCCCATTTCAGTTTGTACCTTAAAATCTGAATCACCCTGTATATTGATGAGAACTAGGAAGAAAACAAATTACTACAATAATTAGTATATTATAGCGCCGATATCTGTATTTTTCCATATTGATATTATAGATAGTGTTGACCTTACGCTACCGATTTACTTCTGCCTGATGCAGGACCGGATTCACTAAAAATACATACAGGGCGAGCCTGCCCCAGGGTAAACCACGCTTTTTTTTATTTTCTGGTCCAAACACATGAAATATACGAATATTCACACAAGTAAAAAGAAAGCAGTATCGATAGTTTCTTGGGGTTTTCCCTTGATTTCTTGCTCCATAACCGTTAACCAAATTTTTATTCCTTCGTAATTTTTGTGGTTTCGCCAGCGTAAAAAATAGTATGTACATTTCAGGACAGAATGCAATTTTTTTCCTCGGTGCTTGCACTTCTGTCTCTTGATGTATTATGTACTATTCTTTCACTTCCAATTTAGCATCAGGAACTAATAGGTGATTCTACGATTTGAAAATTATTTTATTTTAGCCCATTCACCATGATATATTCATTCATGATTAGTTAATCCTTTCAATGCATTTGAATATGCATTAGTAATATGCACTGTAAACAATACAGTGTCAACGGAAATGATTTGACACTATGGTCTATACAATGAACTAGGTATATAATGATAATAATACCTATAAGTACATTTAAGGTTATGGGGATATATCTTCCAGTTTTTCAAAATTAGGCCATTGATATAATTGGTACCAAGAAAAAAGTTGTTCCAGGAAAGTGTTTTTGCTTGAAACAATAATAATTAAGTTATAACTATGTATTTTAATTTCCTTATTCCATATTGCAATAAAGTCCTTCGATCTTCAATGCCAAGGCAATAATATTAATAACAATTGACAGACTGCGTCAGATGCTTTCAAAGTAATGAACCATCTGTAACAATTATCATAACAGCACCTATACCAGTTATTCAATGCATAATAATTATCATTCAGATCCATTATATTTTTTATTACACATTAAATCTGTTCCAGAGTAACAGTGTCAATGTAACACAATTGCATTAATTTGATGTATAGTATAGATAATATACAGAGTGTCTCAAAACCATTGGGACCTCTCGAGTGATGCAGCTCCATATGCGTATAAATTATACAAGACAAAGAGCATTATTCGATTGTTTTCGAGATTGTTTTTTTCCTTTTTCATCGATGTAGAAACAGACCATGTTCATGAGCCACACTGTACATACATTTTTGAAATTTTTCCAAACATTTCGAATTCTAGGAATTTAATTGAAGACTATTGTGGTCACCGTAATTATCATTTGTGTCCATTATACTCTAATAATACTTAAGCACCTCTATACTCTTTAAACTGTTTCGAAAAATAGATAGGTGTATTATTTGTTATGATCCACTCGGTAGATCAATTATGGAACAATATGTCAGTAATAACATAGAAATGACCAAGAATTAATTGTAGGAAATAATTTCTGAGAACTTGTTTCACCTTCGGAATATCGATGAAATTTAATGATAATTCAATAGGAAGAAATGTCGATTTTTGATTAGGTTATCAAATTTAATTACGATAAATAGGTATTCAATATGTGATGCATCGCTTCAAAGTCTAAAATTTTTCGAAATTTCTTATAAAACTTTCCTGCTTCACCATATATAGCATTAATCTGTGAAGTATCTTCAAGTTCTACATCTTCGTACATCTCAAAGACTGCACTCAATGCATGTCTTCAACACACGTCGTTCATATTCAAAATTCAAGTTTTTTTTTTATTTTCACACATTTTCTAAGATCTAAATTTTATACAAGACTATTTTTTGTAGGTGAAATGGATAGCTGTATGATATTAAAATGACTCACTAGAGTAGACTCACGCTAGGCATTGTAGCCTATTTTGTGATCTTGTCTAAATCAGCAAGGCATTTGTACAAGTGTATGTCTAATGTAATGGTATTCGAAATTCGAAGGGCATGTGCAGTATACTTACATTTTTGTGAAAATCAATAGAGAAAGGGAGAAAAAAAATCTGATTAGGATTCAAAAGAGATTGGATAAATTGGAACACTTTGAACTTGGTGTGATAAATATCTATTTCAGTTGAAAAATAGAAATTTTTCTGGGTGCTTCTGTACATAATCTTTCGCTTCTTTCTTGAGAAGTTCGAAAGATGTGATATCTTTGAGATTTTTTGGTAAAATGTTGAATATTTTAGGGCCATGAAAAAGAAAATAATTTTTGGTTACTGTTTTATTGAAGAGTCCGATTTTTAACTCTAGGGTCATACGTCCTAACATGTAAAGACGTGTTTTCGACCTAAAATGTACGTTTTAAAGACTACAAGTGCTGAACATTATCTGGAAATCATATCGTTTTCCCAACTTAATGATTTGTGTCGTTGTAATATAGGATGAACAAGAGAGGGCCTACAGTCCTACCCTGAGGAACCCTATCGTACACCTGAAGTAGCTGAAGATAAAGCTAAAATTGCACTATTTATAGTGAAATCGAGAAGTATTGAGGAATGGGAATGTATTGTTATTAAAATCACCCTATAAGCTTGAGTTGACTTGATTCAGTTTCGATTTCCGATTCAGTAAAATTGCAATGATATATAGATCAAACATGTGACCAAAAACTTCCTGCGTTATTGCCAACGAAGTCTTGAGAAAGGTATGAGAAGCAATACACGTGTTTTATTGAATGGTGCAACAATAGAAAAATTAAAACACCAAATAAAGAATAAGTGTTTTTGGCTTATTTCCTAGATATGTCTGAAACCTAGAGGCCAAACACCTTATGGGCATACTGACTTCCACAATGGACCTATACGACATAATGCGTCAAACTGTACGTTCACAATAGCTATATTACTAATAACTAGTAGATAGAGAATATACTATTATTACTCTTGTTAGTTCTTCCTATTTGAACTGAACAAAATAAATCAATTTCCTACGCTTGTAGAAATTATTGTTCCTATCTCATGCGTCTTTTTCGCACTCGACTGCTTGCCCGAACTCCGCTTCGCGTCGTTCGAGTCAACTTTTCTAGCTATTACCAGCCCTAATAGCACACAACGTCCTAGGGACGTCCCTATTTGGTACAATTTACGTCCGAATGTCCCGGACCAAAAATAAGTGTCCTTGGGACGTCCCATCCCGTACATCTCTTGCAATGTCCGAGCAAGGACGTCCACGGGATGACCCAGCTGGTACATCATTTCAAATATCCCTTAGACGTCCCACGTGGTACATATTGTAGAATGTCCATGCAAGGACGTCCTTGGAATGTCCCTGATGGGATATGATTTTATATGTTCCTTTAGGGACACCCATCGGATGTCCCGAGTAGTACATATACTGGCATGACTTCAGATCCTATATAATGTCTCTTCTAGACAATCATGAAATGACCCTGATGGTACATTCCTTCAAAATATCTCTGCACAGGCGCCCATAATATTTCCAGGAACGTATAATAATCGAAATGTCCCTTAGGGACGTCCTTCGAATGTCCTTCGGATGTCCCAATAGGTACATAAACTGTACTCTTCCAATGTCCTAGAAATAACGTCCTATGGACGTCCGAGTCGGTACTTTCAAAATGTTGTCCCTGTGAGGACGTTAACTTACACCTCGCCGACGAATGATTGCTCGTAGGCTATAAGTACTCCCCTCGTCAATGTAGTTCACGTAAGTCCATTGGACATCCTTGGGAAACTTTTTGGGGACCTTCTACGGACCATCAACTCAAGTGGATGTCCTAATCAGTTATGCAAGATCTGGTCCTGAAGGGACCCAGACAAATTCAAATTCAAGAATAATTCGTACATCCATCAGCGTTGCTGATAGGTTGTCCTATGGATGTCCTAAGGACGTCCTCTGTAGTGCTTGATGAGGATTAAGGTATTCGATAGTTGTCCCAGGAACGTCCCTCAAGGACGTCCCTAGTTGGTCCTCAAGTGGGACATTTGTGCGTCCCACAGACGTCCAATGGACGTCCACGGTACCAAATTCGAACGTCCTATGGACGTCCTGAATGTCCCGACAGGACGTCCTAAGGATATCCATGGGACATAAGTGTGTTATTAGGGAGAGAGGCGTACGACAGGGGCAATTAACCGGTTGATCCCTCTATAATTCTACGCCACTGGCGGAATTGCAATTCTATCACAAATGTTCGATTCTCCAACAATTTTGACGTAGATATTGTTCTCTTTCTCCATGGCGATAAAGTCATTATTTTTCGAGATATTTCAAGTTAAACATAAATCTGCACAATCATTTTGATTTCAATGTGCATTAATTTTGTCAATATTTTGGATCAATGGATTGTATCCATCAATAAAATCAAACTTCAATCCATATTAACGATAAAAATATAATCACATAACAGGCAGGAGCTGTTACAGGGTGTTTAATTATGTATTATATGAGAAAATTTAAAACGCCCTGTAACAGCTCCCGTCTGTTGACTTTTTATGTTGGTATGGATTGAAGTTTCATTTGATTGATAAATGCAGTCTATTGATCCAAAATATCGACATTATTGATACACATTAAAATCAAAATAATTGTGCTGCTTCATCTTTATCTTGAAATATCTCGAAAATAATGACTTTATCCGTTTTATCGCTATGAAGAAGGAGTACAATTTTCACGAAGAAGGTATTGAAGAATCGAAAAATTCTAATAAAATTGAAATTGCGACAGTGGCGTAGAATTTGGGAAGGATCAACCAGTCACTTGCCCTTGTCGTACGCCTCTGGTAATAGCTAGAAAAGTTCATTTCACATAATTCAGTTAGATGTATAATACCTACATTTTCCTCCAAATATGAAAGTGATACGTCAAATGGTTTTGAAGAACTGGGCAAAAAACATTTCAAAATTTTTGAATGAAACACCCTGTAACTCAGACAGGAGACATATTTTATCTAGGTGATTTGGGTTGAATCTTCATATTTTGAGTTCGGGATTCTATGGTTGAAATATTTCCAATTAGTAATGAAACACCATGTATATCCGGGAAAAAAGTACTCGCTTTTTTCCCGTGAGAAAAAAATGATTCATGAAAAGTGACATTTTATAACCTGTCAACAGAGATGAAATTTTAAACTTGTTTTCCGGACCAAAAAAATTTTATTTTTCGTTGCACTTACTTGTTGATTTTCCCCTTTCTCACTCTGTTGTTGAAACTGGAGATCCAAGCAAATATGACAAACACGCGTATGTTGAAAAAATGATTGCGTGTGTAGAATTCGCGACCGGGAAAATCAAAACTACTAAGTAGGCATAGGAAAATTTTGTCTACTAGCGCTAAAACTAACTGATTACAAATATCTACCTAATACATACCTAATACCTTAGTAGAATGCTTGACTGACTGTTTTTCCCCCCACTGCTTTCTCTCTGATCGGCGATCGGTAATGTATACGGGGTGTTCGACAATCGCCTGCAAAAACAACATCCTTATACAGGGTGTCCCAGAATAACTTTCAACATCTACCTTATCTCCCTATGATCCATAGGTACAAACGATGTTCTTCGAACATCATAGAAATTTGGAACTGTTACAAGCTCATCAAGATCAGAGTTTATACAAGTATTCTTCTCCTATACATTTCAATTTTTATTTTAATACTGATCATGTTGGTAAGTTATATTTTTATATCATAAATACATCATATTATTTTATCCGATTTGAGAGATTATGTCAATTCTCAATTTCAGAGTATTTTCATTTTTCTTGCTCTCTTTTTGGATGTTCAACAGATATAATTAATTCAATGTTCGACGTGGTAAATAGCCAGGAAAGTAGTTGTTTTCTGTTGAATATTCAGTATGATATTATGTGCATATACATATATTAATATGAAGGAGAATGCCAATTCTCTACTTCAGAAGATTTTGTTTTCAAATTTTTATCGTGTGTGTTCAATAAATATGATCGTCGTGGCATATAGCCAGAAAGTAGTTGTTTTCTGTTGAATAAACCGAGAAAGAAGTAATATTTTCATCACATAGAGAATCCGAATTCTCAATGTATTTTTTCTAGTTGAAGAGATAAAAATTTGAAATTCAGAAGGGTTATATTATCGATGATGGCGCTTCCTTTGAACCCAATGAATTTTTTTTTTCAACCACCTGTTTCATTAGAAGTAGACCCAACTTTTTTTTTCAAAAGGCTCTTCGTATATTTATGTAGTCTATCTCATTCGCCTTGAAATTCTCTATTCAACTCATATACGTATTAATAATCAATACGGATAATCTCTATCTGTTTCCATAGCGAAACATGAAGCCGATTTTTGAAGACAAATGACTATCCATAAGGAAAAGTTTTGAAACGATCAGACACATACTGCTTTGATTGAAAGGCTAGTAAACGTCATTGTCCACCGAAACGCATGTCTTTGATGACTACTATAATAGCGCATGGCGCATGCGTATCATGCCACCAAATCCTTATGGATATTCATTTGTTTCATATTTTTGGCTTCATCCTGGCACCCGTTATGATCCGTATTGTTTATTAATACGTATATGATTCAACTATGTATCACAATTTGACATTCGTTCATTGGCTGTTAAATTGCATTTTATTGAAATACATGAAGTTGGCTATGACCCGAATACAATGACATTTCGATGCTTGATAGGCTTAGAAATCCAAAGATCTTCACTTAGACGATATCATCAGAATATTTTCCATACCCTAATCGGTCCCAGAAGATTGCCAACAATTTCATTGAGTTTAAAAAAATCATCCGAAAATAACTCACGATATTAGGACGATACATCAATTATTACAACAATTCCAGTTTCATGTATCCAAATGGATGATCATATTATGGCTTAATGGCAAAAATGAAAGACAAATAGTTCCTTCACAAGTAGCCAAATGAAAAAAACTTAATTTCTATCTTAGTTTTCTCTTGGAAGCATTTTCAGACACATGTTGATGAAGGTAAACATGATTTTCTTATTTTTATCTTGGAGTATACGAACGATATTCTGGGATACCCTGTATAAGAACTGTTCATTCGCTATATGATTTCAAGCGATATTCTTCATTTCTAAATGTATATCTAGTTTATTTTTCATTCCATCTTGTTTGATCCCTATAAAAAAAGTTGCTTGGTCAATGCAGAGATTATACACTCCCTTATAATCTCTGGTCAACGTGAAGCAATTTTTGAACAATCCACAGTTTCAAATTTGATTTGATCACGGAATTATTGAAAATGTTCATGAGATAAAAGTGATAAAACTGTACAGGGAGAATCGGTGGAATCTACAGGCAAGAAAATTATTCGACATTTTTTCATATTGTGGGTCCTGAAATGCTTTGTTCTAAATATTCAGACTGTTGAATGTGTGATGAACTGAAGATTTCTTCATGAATAAATCCGAAACTCCGAAGACAGTTAGATGATATTGATCTGGTGAAATATTGTTCTCGGGACAACCTGTAAATTTGTCATTGGATAGTAACCAGGTAAGAGGTTGTTTCCTATATGCATCATAATTTTTTTTTCTTATGTACGCAATTGAATTGTGGAAAACTTTAATTTCACTTTGATACCATTGAAAAAAATTAAGTATACTATTGTTATCGTTTTTATTTTAATATCCACTTTCACTCTGATATGGAAAACCTTATTAAAAGCATTGTATGCAAATTTTTCTGCTTGAACTTCCCATCAGGTTCCTACAAAATGAAAAATATGATGACTTTCAATTTTTCAAGTTATATATATTTCAACTAATTGGAGTCTTGTTTCATGTTATTGATACGAGGTGATCGAAAATTTGGATTGATTTTCTTTATCCCGGATGGTGGATATACAAGGGTATAACAATTCATATACTATGAAGAAATCTTTTTTCATGGACAATTCTGAAGCGAAGTTATATAGACTGTGGTCAAATAATCAAACACAAATATGTACCTAAAATACCAATATAATAAAATAGCACTTTACCGCCTGGTTTTGCGGGTGTAAAGTGGCACTTTATCGCCCGCGGACCACTGTACCACCCCTTGTATAGGTAACTCGTAATAAGCATTCCTGTTTCGGTTGTGATGGTACCTTATCTAATATTACAGTTTCCTTGTTATTTCTGGGATGCAAAATATATGATATGATCGATCCCGGCATCGTTGAATTCGTCATGAAAATCCCTAACCGATTAAGGAATACAATACAGGGTGTCCCATTTGAGAATCAGAAGTTGGGGTCGTTTCCGGTGGAAATGAAAGTGATAGAAGAAAAATTGTTTCATCAATTAATGAGCAATTTGGTATACTTGCTACCCACCAATTTTCAAAACCGGATCTAGAATAATTGAAAAGTCACAATCCTGGCCGTTTTTTGTGCACTTCTCTGTATGTTCTTACATACACCAGGCAACCATCTCAAGCTCGACAATTCTGATGAATCTTTGTCATATCGATTGTTCAGATTTAGGTAATTTGAGAATGATTCAGAAGAGCACAAATTTGCTAATAACATAAATAATATGGTGACTAGAAAGCCTGGAAACACTAGCTTGACCAACTTCCTAGTCTGCTTCCTCCTAGCTCCTTTCAGAGTGGACATGAGGTCCTTGAGGAGGTATATCCTCACTCCTCTGACGTAGGTGGTTGAAGGATAAAAAATCTAAGATATAGAACATCAAGGAACACTCACATTTTATGAAATTCTATTTATTTACAGCAAATGAACTACATAACGATTTGAAGAACATTATTATATCAAATGATTTGGTTCTTACCACGAGGTTCAGCACCAAAACATACGCTGATGCTCTTAGATTCCATCCAGAGAAGAGCCATTTGCCTGGTGGGTGACGCCACACTCACTCACTCTTTGACATTATTGGAACACCGTCGAAAGGTCGGCGACCTTTCACTTTTCTATCGATACTTCCACGGGAAATGTTCTTCGAAAATCTCTGCTATCATCCCTTCACTAGCAATACCAGTCAGACGAACTAGACAAGCCCAGTCAGCACATCCTTTCGTTGTCAACCTCGAAAGATGTCGAACAGCACTTTATCAAGACTCCTTCATCCATAGAACGGCTAAGCTCTGGAATTCATTGCCTGTGGAAGAAGTATTCCCAACAACATATAATCTCCAAAAATTCAAAAAAAATTCCAATACCTACCTCCTGTCCCTATCCTCCCTAGGAACGCACGATGTTCTTTGAACATTATAGGGGTTCCCTTTCGTGCGCTCCAAGCGATAAAAAAACCTCTGATTCCGGAAAGTGAATAAGAAAACCAACTCAAGCTCAACAATACCGCACCATCATTGTCATATCGGTTGTTGAAAAATTGGTGATTTGAAAATTATTCTGAAGAATACACCATCAAACACCAGCTGAGTGACCAGCTTCCTGCTCTGCTTCCTCCTAGCTTCCTTCAAAGTTTACATGTAGTCCTTGAGGATGTATGTCTTCACCCCTCTGGCGTAGTTTTTTGAGGTATAGGTCTTCCAGTTGAAGGACAAGAATTCTACGTCAAAGAACAGAGAGAGAAGAATAATTAACACAATCAACTCAAACTTAACAAAACTGAAGAGTTATTGTCATTCCTTTTGTTGAAATATAGGTGATTTGAGAGTGATTCTAAAATATGAATAATGATAACCAGGAAACCAACAAACATTGGCTGAGTGAACATTTTCCTAGTCTGCTTCCTACTAGCTTCCTTCAAAGTGGATATGGGATCCTTGAGAAGGTATACTCTCACCTCTCTGGCGTAGTTGATAAAGTAGGTTCGATAGTTTAAGGATATATGATGTCCAAGATAATGCGCATTGAGGAACACCTAATATTTGAGGAAATTCTTTCTATTTTCATCAAATGGACATCTGAATAATAAATCAGGCAACCATCTCAAGTTCTACAATACTGATGAATATTTGTCATATCGATTGTTAAAATTCAGGTAATTTGAGAATGATTCAGAAGAGCACAAATTTGCTAATGACATAAATAATATGATGACTAGAAAGCCTGGAAACACCAGCTGAGTGACCAACTTCCTAGTCTACTTCCTCCTAGCTTCTTTAAGAGTGGACATGGGGTCCTTGAGGAGATACACCCTTCTGGCGTAGTTTTTTGAGGTATAGGTCTTCCAGTTGAAGGACAAATATGCTAAGATGAAGATGAAATCAACGAACGCATTCAATATTTTATGAAATTATCTTCATTTACATCAGCAAATGAACTAGATAATAATCAAATAAACATTATTTTATCAATAATAAGGTTCTTAGGAAACCTCTGATTCAGAAGAATAAATAAGACTAACTCAAGCTCAACAATACTTGAGAGTTATTGTCATTCCGGTTGTTAAAATATGGATAATTTGAGAATGATTCTGAAGAGCACAAATTTACTAATGACATAGATAATGGTAACCAGGAAACCAGCAAACACCAGCTGAGTGACCAGCTTCCTGGTCTGCTTCCTCCTAGCTTCCTCCAGAATGGATATGGGATCCTTGAGAAGGTATACTCTCACCTCTCTGGCGTAGTTGATGAAGTAGGTTCGATAGTTTAAGGATATAGGATGTCCAAGATAATGAGCATTAAGGAACACCTAATATTTGAGGAAATTCTTTCTATTTTCAACAAATGGACTTCTGAATAATAAATCAGGCAACTATCTCAAGTTCGACAATACTGATGAATATTTGTCATATCGATTGTTCAAATTTAGGTAATTTGAGAATGTTTCAGAAGAGCACAAATTTGCTAATGACATGAATAATATGATGACTAGAAAACCTGGAAACACCAGCTAAGTGACCAACTTCCTAGTCTGCTTCCTCCTAGGTTTTTTTCTTAGTGGACATGGGGTCCTTGAGGAGGTACACCCTTGCCCTCCTGTGGTTTGTTTTTGAGGTATAGGTGTTCCAGTTGAAAGACAAATATGCTAAGATGAAGATGAAATTAACGAACGCATTCAATATTTTATGAAATTATCTTTATTTACATCAGCAAATGAACTAGATAATGATCAAATAAACATTATTGTATCAATAATAAGGTTCTTTGGAAACCTCTGATTCAGAAGAATAAATAAGACAAACTCAAGCTCAACATTACTTGAGAGTTATTGTCATTCCGGTTGTTAAAATATTGGTAATTTGAGAATGATTCTAAAGAGCACAAATTTACTGATGACATAGATAATGGTAACCAGGAACCCAGCAAACACCAGCTGAGTGACCAGCTTCCTGGTCTGCTTCCTCCTAGCGTCTTTCAGAGTTGACATAGGGTCCTTGAGGAGGTACACCCTCACACCTCTGGCGTAGTTCGTGAGGTAGGTCTGCCAGTTGAGGGACAAGATGTCGAAGTTGTACAGCTCCCTGTCCATGAAGGACATTCTCTTGAGGAGCTTCTGGGCGTTGTCGTTAGAAAAGTACCATTCTCTGAGGAGGTAGGGATGGAGAAGTTCTTGTGTTCTGTGCAAGGTCTTGTACATCGCCATTACGCTGCAAGAGAAGGGTGGACATCAGACAGGGGGTTGACTGAGTTTTCATATGTTCAAATGTTTTCAATAATGTCTTCCTTCGACTAAGTTTGATTACATGGCATATACGGGGGCCCCGACTTGTGTGATCAAAGATTCATAAAATGTACAGATTTTCAAAAAAAGGTGTCCCCCTTGTTAGGGTTGGTAGATATGTTTAGATATGTTCACCGGAACTACTTGGTACGAACCGTGTAACTAGTGCCCTCTATGAGATTGATATATAAAAACAAATGCATGAGACTTGTCAGCTTCAATGTCAGCTACAATGTTACCAGTTTTTTCGACATATCTTATCATAAAACATGTTTGAAAATAGTTATTTATCATACAAGGAAAAAAAGTAGTATATTTTAGCTCCAGGTTGTGTTGTCTCCCGACGCGTAGTGGAGGGAGACAAAAAACCGTGAGCTAAAATCTAATATTTTTCCCGTGTATAATACACTACTTTTTTCTGTGACAGAAGAAAGAACGAACCAATATTGAGAAGATATTACATTATTTTGAAATTTGAAAATTATCGACGTGAAATTTTAAGTTTTTAACAGTAGGGACACCTGCGTTGTAGGCATCTTTATCATTCTTTTGAAATAATCAAATATATGATGTCACTTCTGTCAGTGTAATTCTGTGATTTGATTTCAAAAAATTGCGAATTTAGTGGTTGTTAGTAATATACGTAACCGCGAAGTCGAATGGAAGATAAAAGGACTTGCAGTTCTTTCTCGGAGACGGTATTATTGACTCATTTTTCGGAACTATAGCACAACAAAAGCCATCAATAGTGTATATATATGTGATATATTTCCGGGAAAAAAGTACTCACTTTTTTCCCACGGGAAAAAAGTAATTTATGAAAAGTGACATTTTATAAGCTGCCAACAGAGATGAAATGCTAAACTTTTTTCCCGTCACAGAAAAAAATTTTTTTTTCAACGGATTTCGTTAAGATATTTTTTTACTGAGCAGACCCAACTTATTCTGCAGTGTTCTACCTGCTCTAGCAAAGAGGTCACCCTTTTCTTAAAACTCTGTATATGCACTTCATCTCGCGAAGATTTCTAAATGCCTTTTCAAATTACCAACTAATAATAAATGTTTTATACAAACCATGGTGTCTTTCCTACAAGTTTCAGTCCCGTATCACACAAAAATGCCATGCAAGTATGTAGAAGGAATATCAGTAACTTGTAGTTGTAATAACAGCCTGTTTTGAATGAAATAGGGAGCTGGATCATCTTGTTTGTAGGAACATCTCGGAACTCTGTATGGGTTATACCCATCCATTCGTCTGGAAAATTATCATCATCATTTTGAGTCATTCATTATTCTTGTATTTTGTTATATCCAGTTATTCACAATTTTTTTGAATCATGGAAAGATTGGAAATTGAGATTTTGTGTTTTCCTCTATGTACTGATCGTTTCACGAAAGCCTCTAACATTTGGATTTGATGTTCGATTTAATTCGCCATTCACTATATTTAAATTGACTGCTATTTCTCTCATGATACTGAAAAATAATTCAGTGATGCACAAAACTGATGCTTTGAACTTACCACTAGTAATTGGTTTTTCTTGAGAACTGATGCAATGATAAATAGTCACTTCTGCATTAGGAACATCACCTCTTGTCATCCTCATTCTGTAAAACACAAAAAATAAATAATGTCATCAATTAGGCAAGACTACAACGATCTCCCTGTATCACGCGTTATAGAGCGTTCTCAAACATTCCAGTAATCCTGACATGTACCAGATTCTCAAAAAAACTATGGAAATATTAGAGAGTGAGAGAGAAAGGTGATGTTTCCTGAACAATAGGATGGTATGAAAAACGATATCAGGAGTCAAAATAGGTTGAAAATCACTTCGGATTCGGAATCAGGACGCCTAATTCACTAACTATCCATTTTTTTCCAGAAAATTTCCCAGTTCTGAAATAGTAATTTTCCTAACAAGTGCGGAAAGTAATTCTTTCCCGCACGCGACTGCCGTTGACACGACCGGCGCGAAGCGGAGTTCGGGCAAGCAGTCGAGTGTGGGAAAGACACTTTCAGCATGAGTTAGGTACAATATTTTTTCTACAAGCGTAGGAAATTGATTGATTTGTTCAATTGATTATTCATTCATAAGAGAAATATATTCTCTATCTACTGATTATTAGTAATAGCTATTGTGAACTTACAGTTTGACGCATTAAGTATAGGTTCATTGTGGAAGTCAGTAGGCCCATAAGGTGTTTGGTCTCTAGGTTTCAGACACTTCTAGGAAATGACCCAAAAATACTTTACAATTACAAACTCATTTGAGGTTTGATTGGCATGACAACAATAATAGTTTCCCATCAGATCAATTCAAATCTATGGGGGGGGGGGGGGGTATTTTTATGATAATCAATTCTTATTTTTCAATATTTCTTAATTTCCACAATAAATATCATACATACTTGATACTGCAACAAACAAACTCAAACCCTCATATTCCATCACCTAATTCTTATTTTTCAATATTTCTTAATTTCCACAATAAATATCATACATACTTGATACTGCAACAAACAAACTCAAACCCTCATATTCCATCACCTACCACTTATATTTGGCCATATTATCATACAAATACAAATTTTTCAGAAGAAATATGAGTAGTAAGTGAATCAGACGTTCTGTTTTCAGTTCTCGAATCCGAAGTGATTTCCAACCTATCTTGACTGCTCGATTTTCCGGACATGTAGATGGTTCCATGGCTCCTAACGAGCAGTGTATATCACTGTAATTTCAATTGTTCATTGACTGTTTCTTAGGAGAATTTCATGCTACTGGTATTTTTACAATCATAACTCAAAAATTACATAAGATACGGGGGTGTTTCAATGAGAAGTGAGACAAAAATATTTTCCAGGAAAAATATGAATAGTTTGTTGGGCGTCCTGATTCCGAATCCGAAGTGATTTTCAACGTATTACGACTCTTAATGTCATTTTCCGGAAATTGGGGTTGTTCAATAGCTGTTGGCGAGCAGCGTATATCACTGATGATGACCCCACTTGGTCAAAGAGTACATTTTTGATATATCTCTCGCTTCAGCAAATTTCAGGATCCTTACCCAACGAATACGTAAGATATACAGGGCTTACACAGGGTCATGGAGACACTTGCATAGTCCGTATTTCAGAACGCCCGAAATAGTCATGATGAGTCAGTAATCAATAAGTATTTCTTTGAGTTCAATAAATCAGTTCATCATTACTTGAATAGTGTTAGTGTTCACTTCTGCCCATAAATGACGTATAAATATTGAAATCTTACCTTTGTAACGCGGAGTACCATCCAGATGCGATGATAAGACTGACCACGTGATCCACCGGCACAACATCCAAAGTACCGTTTTTGTAATAATTTACCTTGCTCACCCCCATCGCACGTGCCACTGTGTCAGCTTGCAACCCTGACATTTCGTCAACGAACCCTGTCATTGGTTCTTCGTTAGCCGGAAGTACTGAAAACACAACCACCACCACAACATGTAAAGATAATCGTTTCCAGTAGAATTTACTATCATCATAGGAGTATGCAGAGAGCTGACGTATTGTTGGTATTCTAGAACTTCAAAATAATGGTATTTAGATCACAAACTTGCATTTTGAGATCTCGTATTGCAACTACTGGTCATTTTTACCCTTCTGCTCATCATTATTCCGTTGTCCCCAAATGAGGACAGCGTGTTCTTTGATGGTTTTCATCAATCTCTGATCAGGAAAGTATGATATTATCAATGAACAATGTCATCAGAGATCAACTGGTGACCTGCTCGCTTATGTCGTACATCTATGGCAGCAATCTTTTGAAAAATATGGCGAAACCTTAGCCGTGGCACTTGATATCTCCAAGGCATTCGATCGAGTCTGGCACCATCTTATGGCTTGCCTCCCCAGCTATGTTCTCTGCTAGCTAGTTTTCTCTCAAACAGGTATCTCCATGTAGTGGTCGATGGAGTATCATCTGACTCTCTCATCATAAATGCTAGTGTTCCGCAAGGATCAATTCTAGCACCAACACTATTTCTACTCCATATCAACGATTTGTTGGAAGCAACTTCATGTCCAGTACACAGCTTCGCGGATGATAGTACCCTCCATACCGCCTTCTCTTCCAGGGCTCCAATTCCAGCCAGGCAAATCAGAAACGAACGAGGAAGAAATGTTGACAACATAAATATGGACTTGGCAACAAATCTCGAATGGGGATCCAATAACTTGATAGATTTCAATGCAAACAAAACACAAGCAGGCCTTTTTATCTAGAAAAACCGATCTAACTGTACCCAACATAAGCTTGTCATGACTAACCATATCTTTGAAGACATCCATTTCGATGCTTGGTATTACTATCAGCAATAATAACCTTTCTTGGGAAAATCACGTGAGATCGATTGCTAGAAGTTCATCCCAAAAAACTTGGTTTTCTGTTTCGGGCCAGGAGCTATTTCACTTCCAGTCAGCTGCTTATCCGAGCTGTCCTGGAATACTGTTCCCATATTTGGAGTGCAGCACCCAAACATACTTTGAAACTGTTGGATTCTGTCCAAAAAAGGGCAATCCGTCTCGTGGGTGATGCCTCGCTCACAAACTTACTCACTTCCCTGAGACACCTTAGAAAAGTTAGCGATCTGGCTCTATTCTATGGATATTTTCATGGATATCAACAATTGTTCCTCCCTTGGCGGTCCCCGCGAAATTAACTCATCGAGTTGAGGCTTCGCACCCCTTCGTGGTCACTTTGGAGACCTGCAGAACATCTCTTTCCAGAGACTCGTTCATCCAACGAACAGCGAGGCTCTGGAACACATTGCCAAGGGAGGTGTTCCCCGAGGCATACAACCTCCAGAAATTTAGGAAGAACACCAATTTCTACCTTATTTCCCTTGGCTCTCACGATGTTCTCTGAACATTACAGGATATCCCGTTTCGTGGGAACCAGAACATAAAAAAAATACTTCCCCAGTCATCTAGATGAGGTTGTGAGAAAATGAAAACCAAATAAAATGAACATTTCTATGACAGTGCGTGAGTGATTAACAGACAAGCCATCTGACTGATAAGGAGTGCTTGCAGTTGATCGAAGATGGGTTCAAAGAATTTCTACTCCATTGATTACCACTGTGCTCATTTGGGGACATACCCTTGGGCTGGTGAATTCGAAAAGAACCATATCTAATCAGCAAAAATTCATATTAAATTCGTGAGCGAGAAGGTATCTTCTAGTAGTTCAGATACTTACTCATGGATGGCCTTATTATACTGATAGGAAGACAATTCCCTTCTCTTTTAATGAGGTCCTCTGCTGCGCACATTGTGAATGTGTAAGTGTCTGGCCATTCTCCTAACAATCTGAAACAAAAAATAATTTCTCCAAGTTGTGAGAGTTCTCAACATACAGAGGACATTTCGGCCTAACCCGCCCTCTCTAGGCCACGCCCACTGTGAAGTGGGAAGGGCGTCTAAAGTGATGCTATACCTACTAATGTCTAGACGATTAATAGCACCGATATACTCACGAATTTTCCATGGTTTCCAGTGCTGCTTCATCGTTCTTATCTACTAAATCTATCAGGTTTTCTGCTGTCTCTTTGGGTGCATAAAACTTCTCGTGTATTTCGTATAGTGGGAAATTTGAATATACTGATGAAACGAAGACGAAGCTCTGCAAAAAATCACAATATCTGAGTCGTCATATCCAAAGCAATTCATATTATTTTCATATAAATGAAATAGCGGGTGCCAACGTTCCCGGAGGAATGAGATTAAGATTTGGAAAATTGTTTCAATATTTCATAACCTCCAATCACTTCCGGTTTCACCGAAAACGACCCTAACTTTCGATTTTCGAATGGGACACCCCATATTTTATTTCATAATCGGTTAGGGATCATCATAATGAACTCAACGATACCGGGTTTGATAGGGTAATTTCAAATGATCACGAATGCTCAATGAGTGTGATGGGCAATATCGAAACTTCTGTCTCTGTCACTCTCGATGACCATATGGATTTGGAAACTTGGAACGCAAATATCTTTGTATTCGTTCGAAACAACATTACCAAACCTGGTATCATTGAATTCGTTATGATGATCCCTAACCGATTCAAGGCGAAGCCAGAGCAGTCGTGAGTAGATTGTCAAGGGGTCAAGCACCCATAAGCAATGCGCACGGTAAGGACTATAGGAAGCTATATATAAAGAGTTGGAAAGCGACCCCATCATGGGGATGCCAACAGATGGCATAATTCCAAAATATAGCTTTGAAAAAACTTTTAAAATAAGTATAACGGACGGAGAGGCATTGCTGTCTAACTCAAAACTAGTATGGGACGGCTGCCGAGTCGGCGAAAACCGCTCCGTGTGTTTTCACCCTGAATGCCATTGCAACCTCATTAGATGACCTCGAAAATCACGTAACCTGACCTTGAGTTCTTCCATCTGCTTCGCCAACTCCAACAAATCCCTGGTGGCCCTCACATTGGCCCTCACGGCCCTCCTCAAGGGCGCTCCTAATTGGTTGTCGGTTCCACAATGGAAGACGCAATTGACTTCCGTGACGATGAGGTTCCTGTCGTAGTCTGACAGGCCGAGGTCCGCTTTTTCTACGTCGCCCAGTATGATGGAGACCTTCTTGAAGAAGTCCTGGTCGTTTCTTTTCAGGTTACCGAAGGCCTGGAAAAATGGACTTTGTGAAATACTGATTCACAACGAAATTATTGGACAGGGCGTCAGTTATTTATTTATTTTATTATTTAGTTCTGTTACGAGGAAGAACTAAATTATAAAATAATAAGTAATGAATATCTATGAACTACTACACAAACATGAGTAGAAGTGAACATGAATAATTAATATATCGAAGACTGGAACCTTTGGCACGATAATACACGTGTTTCGCTAACTATGTTAACATCTTCAGGAGAAGATTAAAACTAAATATCCTATTCTAGTGTGCTGCTTATATACTAGGTATATGTTCACCCAACTGTGAAAAATAATAACCGTCAAGTTAATGTTTGTCATGGTTGAGTTCACACGTTAATCTTAATTTTTATTTTTCTAAACTATATAGAGAGCTATATGGAATAGGTCCATTATCCTTATTCATTACTCTATTACTATATTCTTAAATATCTCTAAGCTTTCATATGCGTCTAGTTTTCTAATGTTATTAACTTGCTTAACTAATTTGAGGTTAGTAATGTGTGTGTTATGATTGTGATTGAACATATGTTCGGCTACACAAGATTTATCTAACCTGCCATATTTCAAATGGGCTATGTGTTCTTTGAACCTTGTTTTTATGGGTCGCCTGGTTTGGCCTATATATGTTTTATCACAATCATTACAACTTATTTGGTATATTCCCGACTTTTCAAGTGTGTCCACTTTATCTTTCGGATTGCCCAATAAATTGCCTAATTTTGACCCAGACTGATAAACGCTTTCAAAACCTAAGTATTTGAAAACCTTATCAAGTCCCTTCGTATACTTGGGATTGTACGGGATTGGGATTCTTCTAGAGTTCTCTTTATCCGCTTGAAAAGTCGTAGAATATCGGAGTGTTAACTTAAATTTATGTCTACGTATTAATTCATCTACTATTTTGATATCATACCCATTGACGCCGGCCACTTTATAAACAACATTTCTTTCAGCATTGAATATTTCTTTGCTCAGAGGAAATGAAATCAATCTGTGTACTACTACCCCACTTCACACCCTGTATATATCATCAAATATCGGAATTCAATCCATCGAACATAAATTGATTTAGGATTAGAACTGAACGGAACAGAAACTACCCAACCCAGAACATACAGGGTGATTCAACTAGTTAAACTATATATAGGGTAATGTACAAAGTACCAAACAATAGATCATATTTTTTTTCAAAATCTTGACAATTTCTGGCCTCTAGTAGCCTTCGAGTATAGTCAATCACGAGATATTGACAAAAAAAGTCACAGATAAGTGTCATTGATATAAATATTACTATATAGGACAAATTGAATATCTTAGGTATCTGAAAACACAATGAAATCTCTTTATTTGGAAATTTCGTTCGAGTATACTCAATCACGAGATATCGACAAAAAAAGTCACAGATAAGCGTCATTGATAAAAATATTAGTTAATATATTTGGCATCCGAAAACACAATGAAATCTCTTTATATGGAAAATTCACATGCATGAATGGGTCAGAATGGTTCTGATAACCATCATCGGAATCGGTTGAAAATTGAATTTTCATTAGTTGTGTGTATGTCTATTATCTGTGCAGGCTTTGTTACTAACTCCATACGCCACCTTAGAAACAACACTGTTGATTGTAACCCAATAGAGTAAAAACTAGTCGGAAAATATTTCAATTTTTTTGTCAGGTTATTAAAAAATAATGTTCTTAATGATAATGATACATACCAATGAATCGAACATTTCCGCACACCTCGTCTCAGCGTCCACTCCATTTTTTTCTCGCATCAACAGGTACACATGTTTCAGATTGACAGTCCTCAGCAGCTTTTCGAGTACCAGTTTTCCCAAAAATCCCGTGGCACCTGTCACTAGGGCCGTTTGATTTTTGTAGAATTGTTGGATTTCACTCTGGTCTACGGAAGCCTCCATTACGTCGTCTTGCTGACAGAGGAAAAAAATTTCGAGACGGCAACAAGGTCATGAGGGTCGGGTCATTATGCAAAATTCTATTATATGATAAGCAGGAGTGAGGTTTTGATGTGAAATTTTGATATTGCGTCAATAGGGAGTCGACTAGAGTGGAAACCAGCACGATAAAGTGTAGACAGGGTGGTCGACTTTCCACTTTTTTCCTGATATCGATGATTCTTTTCCAAATCTAGCACCAACACTATTTCTATGCTACTCCATATCAACGATTGGTTGGAAGCAACTTCATGTCCAGTACACAGCTTCGCGGATGATAGTACCCTCCATACCGCCTTCTCTTCCAGGGCTCCAATTCCAGCCACTAGCCAGGCAAAGAAACGAACGAGGAAGAAATGTTGACAAAATAAATATGGACTTGGCAACAATTATTCTCGAATGGGGATCCAATAACTTGGTAGATTTCAATGCAAACAAAACACAAGCATGCCTTTTCTTTAGAAAAGCCGATCTCATTGTGCCCAACATAGGCTTGTCAGGAGTAACCATACCTTTGAAGACATTCATTTCGATGCTTGGTATTACTATCAGCAATAACCTTTTTTGGGAACATCACGTGAGATCAATTGCTAAAAGTGCATCCCAAAAACTTGGTTTTATGTTTCGGGCCAGGAGCTATTTCACTCCCAGTCCCAGTGCCGGATTCAGGGGGGGGGCTATGGGACTATCAGCCCCCGGCGGTGAATTTTACGAGGCGCTAGAGAAAAAGAGAAATGAGGAAAAGCAAGCAGCAATACAGTCGTTGACTGGTTGAGATACTGTTTTTGAGAACATCATAACATGTACATGTACATACTTTTATTTGATGATGAGAAGAAAAACCGTCTACTCGTCTAACTCTATCTAAATAACAAAAAACAAAATCAGAGTTCAGTATTTGATAGGTCGTCGTTGGTATTGTTGGTAATGGTACTGATGATAAATAAATATTGAAACTTAAATTTAAAAAAATGAGTAAAAAAGAAGGTGGTGCATTCTGGAAACGGCAGAAGATCAATAAACAAAAGTAGCTAGACGAAGTTGTCAAGAAATGCCCTAAAATACATTCATTTTTTCTGAATTCGAATGAGACAGAATCAGAACCGACAGAACCGTCCTCGGGAACTTCACGATCTCAAGACAGGAATGGTAAGTTTTATATTATTTTGAATTCAGAACGCGAAAAAGAAGAGTAAGAATCTCAAATATAGATGATCAAAATGCGACTAAGCGTTGTTTTAGGGATAATCACAACAAATTCCTAATTCATTGAATATTGGCAATTACTGAGAATGTTTTTACTATCCCTGATGATTGGTAATGCCAGTGGTGAAAGGTCATTCTCAACTTTAAAAAGAGTGAAAAACTACCTTAGGAATTCCATGGTGGAGGATATATTGAATATCTTATCAATTTCAAGTATTAACAGTGACATGTTATTAAATCTGAATTTTGATGAAGCCATTGACGACTTTGCATCAAAAAAATCAAGAAAAGTATTTTAGTATTCATCTGAAAAAAAAAATTGTTGTTTGTTGTTAAGTTTAACGCGTGAAGTAAATATAATTTGATTCGTTATACATAATGATTTCATGGTATTGTTATATAGGCTGTTAAAAAAGCAGTGAAAGAATTATTTGAATTTTGAAACTGACAATTGAAAATTGAATATTTGGCGGCGGCGCGGCGGCATCGTAAAAGTTAGCCCCTGGCGTAAGGGAGTATAAATCCGGCACTGCCCAGTCCGCTGCTTATGATCCAACGAACAGCGAGGCTCTGGAACACATTGCCAAGGGAGGTGTTCCCCGAGGCATATAACCTTCAGAAATATAAGAAGAACAACAATTCCTATCTCATTTCGCTTGGTTCTCACGATGTTCTCTGAACATTACAGGATATCCCTTTTCGTGGGAACCAGAACATGAAAAAAAAACGTACTTCCTGGTCAGAAAAGTTTCCTGCTTCCTCAAAAATAAATCGTCCGGTAATGGAACCCTGAGAAAAGATATTTTTTTCTTCGGGTTATAGGCACTTCGATTCATGCTCAATGCCATAGAAAAGTCGGCGAGATTTAACTTTTCTATAGATACTTCCTCGGGAAATGTTCTTCAGAAATATCTGCTATTATTCCATCACTAACAATATCAGTCAAACGAACTCGACAAGCCCAGTCAGCACATCCTTTCGATATGTTGAACAACTCTATATTAGAACTCGTTCGTCTATAGAACGGCAAAGCTATGGATTTCTTTGCCAAAGTAAGTATTCCCGCAAGAACTTATCCAAAAGACCTACCTGCTTCTTTTCCTTTCAGTAGATATACAACATGAGTTGTAGCCCAAACGGCCCAAACGGGAGTAGGAAGGTCACAAGTGTCGGAGAGGTGTAGACTAGAGCGTACCCGGTCGCGATTTTACTAAATATAAACTATTGCAGCACAAGACACGCCCACCATAATACGTCATATCTCATACTGTGCTCCAACGCAAGAACTGAAGCTTTCTCGTTGTCAATCTCTTGTACGCAGTAAATTCATACACCCAAATGGTCTACTGGTTAGCGCTGTCGACTCTCAGTCTGAAGGTTCATGGTTCGAATCGCTGTGAACTCGAACTTTTTTTTGCAACTTTTTTTTTCACCAATGTTTTTTTACTTCATTCTGGAATTCCTTTTTCATAAAATATTTGAAGTCAAATAGGTTAGTGCGTTTAGGATAAACAGTCTCATTTTATTCAATTTTGTTGAAGAACTCAACTTTTGAAATATATTAATGAAATATAATATTAATACTGTCTCAGCAAACATTTTGATATGGGGCATCAATGGCCTTATATATTTTTCCCATACCTGACATCAGTGGCCCAGTGAATGGTCCCATATGCGGGACTCTATATATCAGTACACTGCGGCCGGCAGCTGGTCCCAGTGCTGGGTTCCCAGCAAACATATTCAGTTCCCCGGCAAAAGGCCAGTACAACATAATCGGCACATTGAGTTTCCCATAGCAAGCCCAGCATATACATAAATGATGGGACTGTAATGGCCAATTAACGACATTGGTTACATACTATCGAGGTAGGGGAGGGGTAGGGGTTTTAGGGGTCCAATGGATCTGAAAGTTCTAGTAACTTTTTATTTCTCAATATAACCCTCTCATCATACCAGATTTCAAGAAAACAATATTATGAATGACACAATAATATCTTCTTAACCTCTCTGTTCTTCAACGATGAAACTTCTCGGAGTGACTGCTTACTGGTTGGTATGTGGTATCCACATCTTATTGGGTAGCATTCCTTCAAAGTCGATTCTTCGTTGTGAGGTACCTACTTCTGAAATATAAAATGCATCATTTGTTTATATATGTGGCCTATGAGTTGCATGAGTTTATAACTTGATAATATAATCTGATGACGTGTTAGCATGGAGCTATTCAATTCTCATCATTTTCTTGGCACAGATATTTCTGTAGCTGACACCTTTCATTGTTATTCAGTTTTTTAATATAGAGATATATAGGTTCACATAATCTGAGATTGCTTTTGATAGCAACAAACGAGTTAAAAATGATAGTTGCTTTTGAAGAAGTACAGCCCACTCCAATTATTATGATCAATAGGTATATGAGGTTACGAGATACCAAACACATGCATTCAATAATTCAATTCGAAACACTATGTAGGTAGATTAATACTCACTCAATATTATCATAATTGGAGAATCTGTCTTCTATCATTATCAATTGAGAATACTCCTGCCATCATAAATAACCACCAGAGAAAGAGAGGAGCACAATAATTCATCGAAATAAACAAACTTGTACGCGATCACCACTCACAAGAGTCAGCCATCTTATTCACATTTAATATTGATCAGCTGATTGTTGATGTTGACGTTCTCAGAACTTCCACCAGGGGGACGAGTAGCGAACATGAAATTGGCCAGCAAAGGGCCAGATCTCATAAGTATTCAAGTAGTTCCAGACATCTTACCATCACAAGGCCATCACCGTATTTTCAACTGATGGTTACTTGGCATAGGAAAATCATTGGCCCATTACCAATACCCCGGCATCGTCACTTTCCCAGACTAGCCTGCACTAGGCCGGACTTCTCCCGCTTGTTCAATGTTTGCTGGGCTAGCACAAACCACGCCCACCGTTATATCTCATCTTCAAAGTACTTTACTTAGGCAAAACTCAGACTATTTATCCTCAACGAACTAACCTATCCCTGATTGCAATATTTTTGAGTGTAGAAACACATTGATTAATAATATATTTCAAAAGTTGAGTTTTTCAACAAAATTGAATAAAATGAGACTGTTTATCCTAAACGCACTAACCTATTTTACTTCAAATATTTTATGAAAAAGGAAAACCAGAATGAAGTAAAAAAACATTGGTGAAAAAAAAAAGTTGCAAAAAGAAGTTCAAGTTCACAGCGATTCGAACCATGGACCTTCAGACTGGGAGTCGACAGCGTTAACCAGTAGACCATTTGGGTGTATGAACTGCGTACAAGAGATTGACAACGAGAGAGCTTCAGTCGAATTCGTGTCAAAATCATAAAAAAGTGTATTCCTGCGTTGGAGCACAGTATATTTTAGTGCGATGTACTGACTCCGAGTATATCGGTAATGTTTGGAGATATGACGTATTATGGTGGGCGTGGTTTGTGCTAGCGTGCAGTATATTTAGGATAATCGCTACCCGGTCACAAATGTCGGTCACTCGACGTATTAAAAAAGTTTCGGCGCTGGGGATTGAACCGTTAATTGGGCCTTCGGGTCACCGGCCTGACGCAGAAGACATTGAATCATCAGCCAAACGTTATCAGTTAGACATTGTTTTCAACAAATTTTGCGCGAAAGTCAATGTTTTATACCTCGCCTCCCCAAATATTGACATCCAATTATGAAACACTCTGTAGAGGGTGGCCGTTTGAAATGAGACACGCTGTATAGGTTCGAAAGTCAATGAAACGAACTTTCAGAAACTGAAGAGAAACTGAAAATCGGTGGAAAACATCCGATTTCACTTTTCAAGTGTTGAGCAGTTTAGTTGATACATTTTTTTTATCAGATTTTTCCATCCTGTATAGATTCTATCTATTTTTTGGCCAAGTGACAAGGCGAAAAGGAATGTGTTTCTTAGTAACTGAAATTAATCAATATGGAAACGGGGGTGAAAACACCCCATTCATATCGATTTTGACACGTTTTTACATTTTTCGTTCTGCCAATTCAGGCATAACTACTGTCCTCATCCTATAAGCAACATTATTCTTTATTATTATTATTCTTGCTGTGTTTTTCTGGAAGATTTTTCATTGTGGTGAAAAGTGTCTTAGTACCATTTATTAGATGGTTCCAGATGTAGCAGCAATTACGTCTGTGGGAAGACCTGCAGATTTTTCATTCAGACATTTGAAGTACATCGATGTAACAGCATTCCTGCGTGGTAAGATATTTTCTCGGATATTTCCTTGACTTGAGGTTAGGTCAGTATATCGTAGCAATATCTTAAGTGTGTATGTATATCAAAATATTTGAAATTTTTCGTGGGTATCTACTTATTTTGGGACTTCAACGTACGTCAACCAAAATTATTTGGGATAATCGCTGAGAACTCGATTTTTTAATACTCCAGATTTGTTGGGACTTCATCTCTTCGTTTGTATTTTTTTTATTTTTACGAAACTGTTAATTCTCACAAACGAAACATTCGGGAATAAGAATATGTGATATAGCTCATAGTATTTGGGTCCGTATTCAAGAAAAATAAGTTGATGATGATGGTTTCTGAAAGACGAACCGTTGGATTTCAAATTTGAAAACTCCGAATTGTGGGAAGGATAAAGTGGCCATGATGAAGTGTCATTCATTTCGGATAGTTTATCCGAATGAGTTGAAGAAATAGTAAAAAAGGTTTCAGGAATTTTTTTTTTTCGTAGTTATATCCCCGAAAGTATTCCAAGTTTCAGAACAGCATTTTTTTAGGCATGAAATTACGCAACTTTGCCATGATTAAACCGCACACCTAATTTGGCCATATGAACTCAAAATCATTAATAAATTACATATTGACAGTAAATAAATGTCTAAAACGGTCGAGCATAAAATGTATTTCGGTCGTAATTTGCTTTCATGGACCTATAATAGGCGTGTTATAATAGCCTTTACGTCCTTGTTACCTAAATAACTCATTCAGCATGGGCAAATTAGCTACGATATTCCAGGCAGAGGTACATGCCATTGAAATGTGTGCAAGGGAGTTGGAAAATCGACACCACACACGGAAAACAATAAAAATATTTTCAGATAGTCAAGCAGCACTGAAAGCGCTTGAATCCAACTGCTTTAAATCTAAAGCAGTATGGAACTGCAGAGAAACCTTGAACCAACTAGCAGAACGTAACAACGTGAACCTAGTTTGGATACCAGGTCACACGGGCCTAGTAGGAAACGAAATAGCGGACGCCCTAGCAAAAGGGGGGGCCGAAACACCGTTCACTGGGCCAGAACCGATCATCGGTATAGCATATAGCACTGCCAAGAATGCTATAACATCCTGGGCAGATAAGAAAAGACTCGAGTACTGGCGCAGTCTACCGGGCCTAGCCCATTCCAAAGCATTTATTGCTGGTACAAGGAACAAACAGGACACTGACAAACTACTAGAACTCAGCAGAGCAGATCTCAGAGTTATAGTAGGGTTGCTCACTGGCCACTGCAAACTCAAATACCACATGCACAAAATCGGACTTGCACAAGATGCAGAGTGCCGCCTATGTATGGAGGAGGATGAAACGGCGAAACACATCCTGTGTACATGCCCCGCAGCGGCCAGAACCAGATTTTCAATATTCGGCAATACAATAGTAAGGCCAGAAAACCTGGTAAATTGTTCTCCCAACGCAATCCTCAATTTCGTTAAGAAATTGGATATACAGGGAGAAATATAACCCTAGGGTGAGCCACAATAGGCCAATGGCCGCAGTGGAGGGCCTGACAATAGGCCCACTCACGTTCAACCTAACCTAACCTAACCTACCTAAATAACTACTATAACCTCTCCAAAACACCATAACTCAAAAAGATTCACTAAAATCCATCTCCAGTGATATTGAAAATTTTCCAGGAAAAATATTTCCTGTCAATGAATTGGACGTCCTGATTCCGAATCCGAAGTGATTTTCAACTTTTCTTGACTCCTAATAACATTTTCCGGAAATTTGGGTGGTTCCATGGTTTTTGGCGAGCAGTGTTTATCACTGGAGATGACTCCACTTGGTCATGGTGCTTATTTTCAGCATCGCACTGAATAATGTTCATCTTGAGTCAATTCTGATCTTCATATCTCTTCATCTGGAGTTTCAGCTTCCAAATGAGATTTTAAAAACGGGTTGGCAGCAAAAAAGTTATAACTGCAAAGCCAGAAAGTTAATTTTTCGAGATCACTCTGTAAATAAAAGAGATAAGAAGACAATTTGAAAAATGTCCCTAGGTAATGAGATCATCTTCATGCCTCTGCTATCGAAGTTGAAAAAAGGTTTTTGGTCATTTGGGATTCGTTTGAAAATTACGAAATTTTTCACAGTTTCAAGTGACACCCTGTAGCGATTTTATATGTAGAACCTTATGTTTGAAAGAAGTATGAGATTATAGCTGAGTCTTTTTTGATCCGAATAAAACCTGCTATTTCTTCTGTAATCGAAATAAGAAATAATTGATATTCAATGAATGAAATATAAGTGAAGTTAACACTATTTTGACTCACTTGAGCATGTCAGTGTCAAAGCAGCTATCATATCAGCTGTCATCCTACACACTTTTAGTACTTAGGAGTTAAACTTCAACAATAACTCCTATATAGACACTAAAAGTATTGCCTAGCAACATACATACTAGACCTTTTATTGAAAGAGAAACGTCAACTTCAAGAGCTAATTTTGGTACAAAAATGGACGACTTTTGAATCAATTGCAGATAATAGTAGATTGGTTTATTAGGATCAGTAGTGACACTTATTTGTTTGACAAATAATCCGTGTGGTGAGAATATTCTAGATGCATTAACAGCAGGTTTATTCAATTTTCAAGGATGTTCGAATAATTGTAGTTTCAATATGAATACAACCACAGAGTGACATATTTGTGTATGGACCAGGTGCGCCAGTGCCAGGTATAGGAACAATAAGACGTGGAAAATGTTAGGTTTGTGAGCATATCAACAATAATAATAGCGATTATTTATTCCTCACCATACTACACTGTGTTTGACTTGATAATCAAATGAAGGTAAACAATATCGTTGTTTGAGACAAAAAAACTATTGCTTGCCGTGATTATTCAAAAACACTTATCCATCCTGAGAATAACGAATGAAATTGGGATCAAGCAAATATTTGAATCTTGAAGGCTTCCCTGATCAAAACAAAAATACTTTACTGAAATGTTTATGATTATATCTCCAGCATGGGAATATGAAATGCCAAATCTGCGTCCCAACCCAAATGACCGACCATACCAATGTTGTTTATTCTTGATGACGTACATCTTTTTTAGTTTCTAGGAGCTAAAGTTCAACTTTAGCATCTAGGAATAATGTTCAACTTTAACTCCAAGGAACTAAATATGTTGCTTAGCAACATACCTATTTTTGTGTTAGTGATAGAAACGTCAATTCAAGAGTTAATTTTGGTATCAAAATGGACGACTTTGGTATCGGTTGCGGAAAAATATTATTTATGTTTTTTTAAGATATCGGTATGGAGGGGGCAAGATATACCAGGGTGAATGGTGTCCCAGAGAGAAGTCAGATTAACAAGAAATTCATCACGAGGTCAATATGGCTGAACAACAACAGACTGAGGAACTTCAAGAATCTGGACAAGTTTGTTGAAGGAGTTTTGGAAAGACCTAATATGCTTGGTTGGATCGATCTTTCTTTCAACCATATAACGGAAATAGATGAGGTGAAAGAACGAATCTTAAAAGGACATTCGAGTTTAATAATTGATCTTTGTTGAAAACTATTTTAGTGCCTTTTGACGTTCAAATCGTTGAAAATTTTGTACTTGCATGGCAACTGCATATCCGACATAGAACAAATAACCAAATTGAGGAAAATGAAACAATTGAGGAGTCTCACTCTACATGGAAATCCCATAGCAAATCTCAAGAATTATAGGAATTATGTTATCGTAGTACTGAAACAGGTGAGATTTCATCACAAGACATTATCTTTATCTATAGAATAAAATGTTCATGTTGGTCCTAGCCAGAAACAAGGAATTTTTCTAATATTCAATTCATGACAATTCATGAATTGAATGTTATAAAGTTCTAAAGTGGCATATGGAGCTAGTAACAAATCCTGCATAGAACACACCATTCGTCGGAATTCTTTGGGCTGAAGGACATTGTTTTTCATTTTTCGTTTTTATTTTAGCTAGCAAATCTGGATTTCGCATCTGTAATACCCACCGAAAGGAATTTGATTCCATCAATCGAAGCTACTAAAGTACTGAAGGAAATAACTAAGGAAGAAAAATCAGTGAAATGAATTTATATGTCATACCTATATCTGATCTACGTCGTACCTGAAGAATAAAAAATATATATATAATTTTTATGTGGGTAATATAATGTATTTTTATGATGTTATTATATCACATCTTTTCGATTTTGATTTCAGTTCAAATCTCGAACGCGTTATACCATAATACCTAACGTAATTAACTACAACCTAACAACACTTATAACGAACTCATAAATGATATAATACTTGAATACATTAATTATTTTTTTACACATCATTTCATATTGGTGAACAAATAGTATATTGTTTAACAAGCAAGGCAATTATAGTGATTTCCTACAAGAATGAAGTTTACAGCATGAGCCATAGTTCGTATTTGAATTCCATGGTATTTCTGCAACTTGTATATCATCTGTATTATATACAGGGTGTTTCAAAAAAACCTGACCCCCTCGCTAGGGTAGGTAGAACACTGCAAAATAAGTTGGGTTTGCTCAGTGAAAAAATGTCGTAACGGCATCTGTTTTCAAGATACAAGGTGTTGAAAAAATTATTTTTGTACACATTTTTCACGATTATGTCGAAACTACTGGCAACATTGTGATGAAATTTTGTATGAGTGTTCCTTGAAATCTGACACATCGCATGAATTTGTTTTTATATCTGACTTTCATAGAGGGCGCGAGTTACACGTTTCGTACCGAGTAGTTTAGATCATAACTTTTTTGAGGTTACATTTTTCAATCCAAATATGATATGAACTTGAACATCATTCAATTTTACATCAAAAAGGTACACTTGGTGAAACTCGATACAATGTTCCGTTTTCGGAATATTTCGATTTGAAAATAATGATGGAGCAATAGCTGATGCTGGTATAAAATGAATATTATTGAGTTCAATTACCTATTTATTCAGATTCATAAACAATAAAATCATTCTTGCACTGGAGTTATTGATGGAACAAAGAGTCATAAGTTGTAAATTAAGAGATATTTGACTAGAAACATGAAATATTGAATCAGTTAGTGTACCTAAGTGTTCAAAATGTCCTACGTTTCGACGAATACACGATTCTAATTTCTTTTCTTGAGAATGTATTATTTTTTTAAACAGTTGAGAATCAGCTGTTAGGTCATTTGAGTGATGTACAATTATGTCTTACAACTCTTGACGTGAATTTACCTATGTAGCATAAACTTTCTGCTCAAGATACAACAAAACAGTGTAATCCATGTTCTTAGTCAAATCTGTTTCCATGTTATTCTTGTGATTCATTGTTAAATCAATAAGTTTAGCATCAGAAATGTATTCTTGTTTTCGGTTTTCAATAAATAGGTGATAATTTTTCATAATACTCACTATAATACATAGCTTTTATACCAGCAACAGTTATCACTTCATCATTTTCAAATCGAAATATTCTGAAAACGGTACACAGTATCGAGTTTTAGCAATAGTACCTTTTTGGTTTTAAATTGAATGATGTCTAAGTTCACATCAAATTTGGATCGAAAAATCTAACCCCAAAAAAGTTATGTTCAAAACTACTTGGTACGAACCGTGTAACTAGTGCCCTCTATGAGAGTCAGATATAAAAACGAATGCATGCGATGTGTCAGATTCCAAGAAACATCCATACAAAATTTCATCACAATGTTGCCAGTAGTTTCGTAAAAATCTTGAAAAATGTGTAAAAAAAATATTTTTTCAACACCTTGTATCTTGATAACGGATGCCGTTACGAAATTTTCTTACTAAGTATACCCAACTTATTTTGCAGTGTTCTGCCTACCCTAGTTGGGGGGTCAGGTTTTTTTGAAACACCCTGTATATTCGAACAGAGTATAGCGTGGTTCAATTTTGTTTGTCCTATATACAGGGTGGCCCTTTGAAAACGAAACAGAGGCTCTGTAGGTCGCCAAAACCGGATTATGAAAAAACTCTCAACTACATTTTCGAGGGCGACATCCCTGCGGCGTTGCCGCTTCTAACGAAAAGAAGCAACAACTTTGTTATTTCAAATAGAACACCTTGTATTTCATTGCATTTTTAAATTCTCATTGAAGAGCTGATTTCATCAATGCATCACACTTGGGATCTAGCGGCAATGATTACAATGATTACAGAGCTATAGGGTGTTGAAAATCTATATTTTTCAATTTTTTTGTCGAACATTTTATTGAGACTTAAACACATGCATACAAAAAAATTACATTTAATTGAATCATATGAACCAATCCGAATTTATTGAAGTCCTATATTATTCGAGAAAAGTCGTTAGAAAAATGTGAATTTGTTAGGTGAGTAAGTACATTTTTTTCTTTATTCCATCAGATTTTTTAGAATTTTGTCACCTCGTTCCTATAAAATAAAAACATGAATATTATTTCAATATACCTCTTTCAGTAAGGATGAAGGAACCTAAATACAATATAAAGAAAAGACACATCTACAAATCGAAACTAGCTGAACATATCCTTACTGAAGATGAACAACATATGACAGAGTGGAATGATATTAAAATCATTGGGAAAGAAGATAACAACCAGAAGAGAAAAACAAGGAATAAATGGTAAATTCAAGATCAATTAATGAAAACATCCTGTAACTCATTTGATTACCAACGTCATCAATTGTCACTGAGGACTTAAAAGTGTCAGGACAAATACGAGTTTGCGATACAAAAAATCCATTTTTTATGTTGAAAACGGGAGCAGATTCATTCCCGAAACGTCCAAATCTGAGTGAAAATTTGATATTTTCTCTATATATCTTTATTTATCTTCTCCAAACATTTTCCAAAACAAATTGACACTGACAAGCTAGTGAATTTTTCTTTTAGCTCTCTGATAGGAACATTCTTTAAACACAGTGTCATTTTGGGGCAAATCATCTTATTTGTCTACTACACGTACATTGAAATAAAATTCTCATTTTTATTTCACAGAAACGAGGAGAGAAAATCCCGAAAAATCCTACCACTTCCTCGATTAACCTACAGACAGTACATTTTTTCCACTTTGTATATTCCTCTCGCTCAAAGTGACATATCACCTGCCGTCAGAAACGAGCTAATTTCAATATTTTTTCAGAGATTTTTTTTTCATGCAATATTTTCGGTCGAATCGAAGTCTGTTTTAGAAATTTTTTTGTGATATCAAGTGAAGTTAATTTTATCAGTTTGGCGAAATGGATGACGATGAGCTTAACTTAACTTCAGGCAAACCTGCAGATTTTTCTTTCAAGCACATGAAATCCATACAAGTGGCCAAGTTTTTAGAAAGTGAGTACAATCTTACTCATTAGATTTCCATAAATATCTTGAGGTCACATTCTTCAGAAATCATATGTATGACCATTTGTTTCAAGATAAATTTATACTGAAGATATTCCAAAATTTTGTAATATCCTCAACATATACCTGTTGCGCAAGTGAAGGACCATCAAAAAGACTTTGTAAAATCTCTGATATGACTTTTCGTTCTTGAGTTATTTCTAAAAAACTGAATTTCCGAAATTTCAATGTTATTTTTTTGTGGCGTTGATAATTACTAAAATTAAAACTGAAGGAATATTCTCGTCGCAGCTTTTGATGCAGTTCAATTTGGCATCATCGCCAACTTTTCGTCTTTGGTCCATCATCTACTTCATTCATCTCAAATACGGCCCCGATATTTTGAATTAGATTCGAATAGCCCTCAATCCAGTCTGATTTGGACAATATGCTTCATATTGTGGTGTTTGATGCGTTTCGAGCTTATTTTGACCATCATCAAGTAATTTTTGGAATACGGACCAGAATTTTTCATAGTTAAGTGGCAAAGAAAAATGATATGGAGGAAGACCTGATGGGCTATTTGACACTGGCGGAAGTTCAGGACTGTTGGTTCCAGCAGGATGGGATGATTGTAGCTGCACATGACTCAAGAGGTCTAGAAATTATCTCTCACTCATCAGATTCACAGGAAGAATGATTAAATCGTGCCTTTTATCACTGGGAATATGTCACCAGGAACTCTGCTTATGTGCGAGCCTTTAAAACAGAAGAAGAAATAATACTGATGGTTCTTGAAGCATTGTAGAGTGGTAGAAATTCTGAATAATGTATCAAATTCAATAGTAAAAAATTGTTATGCAGGCTTAGGAAGCAAAGGAAATCTGTTTGGACATCTCTTGTGAATTCATCAGTTTCGTATCTAATCTACTTAGTTATAACGTTCAATGAATTTTTGATTTGTGTATCTGTTTATTTCTGTTATTTTCTCGGTTATTTTCCATTGAATTATTGATTATTGACGTATTCTAAAATGCGTATTGTTGCGTATTGATGTTGATGTAGCATTGTAGAATGTTCAATCTGATAAATGAACTTTGTTTCACAGAATTATGAAAAATTCAGGACGGTATAAATATTCCAAAATGTACTTGATGATAGCCAAATTAAGCTCGAAACACATCAAAACCACAATATTTTATTATAGCATATTGTCGAAATCAGAATGGAAAGTTCAATTCGAATCTGATATCCAAATATCAGGGCCGTATTTGAAAAAATGAAGTTGATGATGATTACTCAAAGACGACGTATTGGATCAGGAAATCGCTGATGGAGTCCTTTTTGCTGGTCCTTTACTCGTGCAAGTTTTTTAACTGTATATATTATCTCTGCATGGTTGCACCGAGATGCCTATAATAGCCCTTCTTATCTCAGTGGCGGATCTAGGCAGTTTTTCAGGGGGGGGCCATGGGCCAAGTATTTTTCAAGAAATTGTATTTCTCATAGTCATTCATTGTTCGCCCAACTGCTTTACCTATATCGAAAATATTTTCATTTTCCATATTTTCTTCTGACATATAAGGGTTTTGAGATGACGATGATGGTTTCTCCTCACTTTGGATGCTTTGAGATAGTTTTTTAATATTTCCCTCTGATATGTCACGGTTTCCTAAAGCTGAAGATGACGGCCCTGCCTCGCTTTGAATACTTTGAATTGGTTGTTCAATTTTCCGCTTTTTTTGTACTGGCAAAAAGTATGAATTAATCTTCCTTCTATCCATCTGAAAAATTAAAGAGCTCAGCTAAGTTCTCCAGATCGAATAGGTAGGAGATTGAAATTTTTTTTTCACAATGACACCATGATCATTAAAATACATTTTTTAGTTGGAATAAACTCAGGAATGTAGACATTAAATGATTCTCGAAAATGTATTGAAGATTTATCTGCAGCTCTAAATAGTTTTGTTCGTCCAAGTGAGTAAAATTTTATACACTGATTATCGGTTTTCAAAAATATATAAAAATCAATCTCGTTAATAATCTCACTGTTGCGTATGTACCAATGTACCTACTTACCATTTAATTTTTAGTATAATTTCAATTTCACTTATCACTTACTTCTTCTTTCTTTTTAAATGAAAAAATCTGTGAACTGAATCTTACTGTTCTGAAGAACTAATGTGAAATGACCCTTTTCACCTTTTTCTTTCAAAACCAATTGGTGTTTTTTGCGGTTTCGGATAAAAAACAACTACTTATTTCAGTTATTCCCTTTGTTTTTGATTCTTGCCGCTCACCGCCACCGGTCACCGCTTACCGCTAATTTGCATTTTACTGAAGCCCCGGCCTTGAAAATAATTATTTTTCCTCTATCGTTATCTGTTTTGCCGCCCTTTGATCTGACCGCCTGTGTCGTTTTCCCATATTCCCACTGCATACAAGAATATTTCTATATAATATTTGTATATGATAATGAATGAAATTCAAAAAAGAGTTGATTTGGCATGTTCGAGTGTTTGAGGAACCATTCAATACGAAAACAACGAATACGAATAATTTTGGTTTGTATAACGTAGCTTTGGTTGCATTTCCAGACTGATTGTTGAACCAATATCAACTACTTATTCAGAGCTCTGGGGGGGGGGGCATGGCCCCCATGCCCCCCCCTCAGATCCGCCAGTGTACTTATCTTGGGCACCGTGTATATTGATACATTATTATTCTTTGAATACACCACAAAAATTCGATTCATAACATTATATTCTATTGATTTTTTGGGAGCACACTAAAACACTCTACTAATAAATTCCAATCCGAGTGAGTGGTATTCTGGAAGATTATATTATGTGGAGGAATGTATATAGTCGTGAATTGATATTTTTTAGATGTCGGCCTACAGGGTGTACGATACACCAGGGTAAAAGGGGTTCCTGAAAAGGGGCCGAACAAAAAGTTTCTGACGAAATCCATCTGGATGAACAACAACAAGCTGAAAAATTTCAAACACATGGACGAACTCGTAAGAGTTGTATTGGAATATCCCGATCAGCTCGGATGGATAGATTTTTCTTTCAATGAAATCACGGAAATAGACGAGGTAAAGCAGTGTGTCATTTATATATTGATAACAAAATTTGAGCTTTATTCGTATTTTCAATGTTCTCTATGTCCATTTTTAGTGCATTCTTGGATTTTCCCAATTGAAAATTCTATACTTCCACGGAAACTGTATCTCTAATTTGGACGAAGTGGCAAAATTGCGACCCTTGAAGCAACTGAAAAGTATCACTTTCCACGGAAACCCCATAGCAAATCATCCTAGGTACCGTAGTTACGTAGTATCCATACTGCCACAGGTAAAATAGAGGTAAAAGTTATCATCTGTATAGTTTCAAATCGTGTATTATTGCTTTTCAGCTTGCTAATTTGGACTTCACACCGGTCGTCAGAAACGAAAAATCCTACCCTGCCCCACCAGAGGCTGTTAAAAAGTTGAAGGAAATGGGAAAGCAAATTTCGAAAAAAAATGCGAAGGAAATGCCACAATGAAATGAACAAACTAATTGTTAATGTGTAAACTGTATATTTCTCCAGATTCTTGTATAATTGCAAATTGATTAGTGATTTTATGATTTGAGATTAATTATTTTGGATTCCAATGTGGCTGCTGTGAACCCCAGCACCCAGCACTCCCAGCAGTTTACTTATTACTTTGCTGATTCAAAGACTAACCTACTATTCTTTGGCTGATTAGACTGGCCATTGACATCAGTGGCAGAAGATCTATTAAATTGAAACCCTGATTCTAATAAAAGAAGGAGAGTTTGTTGTGCCCAACACCGGACAAGAGGCCAAAAATAGAGAAGAAGTAGAAAAATTAGAAAATAAAGGTTAGAAAATAAAATTTTGAAGGATAATTCGATTTTTGAGTTGTTGAAGATACAATTTTGAATTTATGTACATATTACGTGATATTCCATATTATTTTTTATAATTCATTCATAGACTGGGTATGAGAATGTTGTGTGATTATCCTGATACGTGAAAATGTGACTAAACTCCCTGATTAATTCAAAAGTTTCGTGTTATCACTCCAGGATCAGAAAATATGGATATTCCTGCATGTCTGGTATGTGAAATGTTACTAAAACTATGTCGTCTATAAAAATGATAAATATGTTTATCAAATTGTGTGTTTCCAGCATGGTATAAGTCTCAACGGCTCAAAAACTATGGAAGAAAATATCAGTGCTATAATATATCTTGCAGGCACAACAGAGGATAATATCAACCAAAATGAGGTGGATATGGCATCTAAAATATTCTCCAGCTGCTTTAAAGTCATGTTCAGGAATGACCTGAATGAATTCCAGAATATATTGAAAGAAAGTCATAGTATTAATATGTTTCTTCTGGAATTCAAAGTGAATGTAGCAGATCCTTGGTTGTTCCAAGTTATCATCTTAAATTCCATCAAATATTTAGATGTCTTGCCTCTGAACAATAAACATCTGAGCTGTGATCAAACAGAACCATTGGTATTTTCAGTTGAACTAATTTTGCTGCTCTTAGACCCATTGAAACAAAAATCAATATACCTTCTTAGGACCCTGCAACTGATCCTGAGTAGATGTGACATTCTGACACATGTACTGAGCCTTAGAGTCTTGAAAACCATGATAAAAGTTTCATTATCACCTATATCATGCTTCAAGCTATTTGCTCAGAGTGTATCAAAAATAGCTGTTAAGTTTTTTTCAAAAGAACAATTCATGGAAATATTTGAACTATTATATCTTCCAGAAAGGGGAATTGAAATTTGTGACATCTTGAAATTGTACTCAGATGAGTTTATCAAAGTGAATACCAAAATACTAGTGGAAAAAGTGCTGAGAATGTTTTCTTCTAATATAGAAAATAAAGATGGTGGGTTCATATATGAAAGAATCCTGATTTGTACTTTTGATGAATGGAAGTGTGAAATTTGGCCACTTTTTCATGATAAACTGAAACATATTGAATATGAAGGGTGACTTAAACATGTATAGCTTGATGTAGGTATATTCTCAATGTTTATTTTTTCAGAGAGTTTTATCAAAGTCTTGTGAAATATTGGATACCATCTAATATCACTGCATACAGAACAGATTTCTATATATTTCTCAAAGATGAACCTATTGACATAATACTGAGAGCTGTGGTTTTACAAGAAACAATAAAAAAAGGGTATCCTTTGGATGATGTGAACCAATATTTCTATAACATAGAAACAGCTAATCTTGGTCTCAGGATGATAACAACATTTCACAAAAAATCCCTATGTCCACAAAAAGCTCACATTGACATGGTCATGAATTTTTTGTATTCAAATATGAATAGTTGCCTTGAAGAGGAAGAAGTCAAAAGTTTGGGTTTATTTTTCTCCCATATATGTTTGTATGGTCACAGTGATCTCAGAAAAACTGACATGAATTTTGATCTCTATGAGTATTTTGTTATAACTGTATATAATTTTTGTTTGGGCAGTTTGGATACAGAATTTTTCGAGGTTGGTGCTCAAATATTGCATATTTTGTGGAGTAACCTAACTGGTGAGTCTTGAGATTTTTTTTTATTGAAAAATCAGTTCAGTTTTGTTTTTTAGGATCAAGTAAAAATTTGTCATTGGTTTACAAGATAGAGAAGAAAGATTTTTATGAAAGTGGGGATAATTTACTGTACAAAAGGCTGAAGAGTGAAAACTTATGGAAATTTGAGAGTCAACAGATTATTAGAAGATTAAAAGATTGTTTCATGAGGAATGAATGTTTTAGCTTGATTCTAACAAACCTCATTCACAAGTATTATTCATCATATAATTTTGTGGATGAAGTTACATTCAAAGATATGATTGACAAAGTTGGAGACATTCCTACTATTCAGAATACAGAAAAAATCATCAACTGTTGCAATATTTTATTCAAACGTGAAAATAACGAAAAAGTTATAGAATTCATCAAAAACATCAGACAGTTGTTATTGCAAACATTTTTGTTGCCCTATCAAGATGAAATATTGTTCAGAAAAGTTTTATATTTAGAAACATTGACTTTGGCAAGGAGGCATGATATTCAAGTTGAACATCTGGAAGAACTCATAGAAAAATCACTGGAAACTATTGATTCCTTACTTGAAAATGATTCTCTCAGAAGTTTCAATTATAGATCAACAAAAATTTTTGAAACTTTCATTGGTGTAAGTATAATAATATAATATCACCTCTAAAAATTACTTTTTTGAATTATTGAATGTAGTGAAAAAGTCTTGGACTTGTTATTTTGGCCCTCATTCATAAAACAATGGAATTTTTGAAAATTCATTGGTATTACTTGGAATCTTTACTATGCTTTGGAACTCCATGGAATACCTTGAAATATTTAATCTGATGCTAAAAGCTTATTATTCTTGGTTACATTTCAAATCATAGGAATTCATTCTTAGAATTTCCTGCAACTGTTCGGAATTCTTTGGTAAATCATTTTAACTTACCTTCAATCAATTTTTTCATTCTTTGAAATTTCTTGAATTCATCTAAAATCCCCCAAAATTCCTTGCAAAATTTGTTGAGTGTACAGGGCTAGTTTTATTAATGTGACCCCCTCCTTCATCTTCTTTGTATTCCATGCATTCAAGAAGATTCGCAACTGATTTTTTAACAATTCCTCAAATTGGTTTCAATCATATTGACAGAGTTCTGCAATATTTCTTCAAATATACAGGGTATGCTGATATACAGGGTGTTTCTTAAGTACGCGTAGAAAATTCAGGAGCATGTTGCTGATGTCAAAACAAGAAGAAAAGTTCACCGGTTTCATCAACTCCTTAGATTTTTATACAAGCTGAATCGAAAAATGAAACATATCGAAATTATGCAAAATCGAAGAGACATTTCAAAATGAATTTCACTTCATCATTGCCTCTTTTCCTACTCTACAAAATAGAATTGTCAAATTTAAATTCCGACGTTTCTTCTTCGAGCGGCCATCGTCAACTTTATTTTTTTAAATACGGACCTGCATTTTTTATTTCATTTCTCGATAGTTTTTGACCTCCTTGATATGATGTTGAACCAAAACAATGGGCGTGTACACCTTAGTAGAACTTTTTACTCAAACCATGTTTATAATGATCCTTTTATACATAAATAATGATTGACGGCATAATTCGATCGAAAAATTAACTGGAATGTTTTATTTTTGGACATGAATAATAGTACCTTCTGAAAACGGACCCTCTTATGACGTAGAAACCTCATCTCGCCATACTTAAAAGAAAATACCAAACGCCCGACGGAGACTGAGGCAACTGATATATCGTTGATTGATATATTACGCTTCAGCGTAAGCGTAATATATCAATCAACGGATATATTAATTCTTTCAACTGTGATCTCGCGCTTATTCACTCTGTCAGAAATCATGTATCATTCATCTCTGTCTGGAATAGTCCTGTTTCAGTATTAGGGTTTTGACGTCACATCATCGCCTCGTTTTCAGAGGTCCGAAAAATCGGGGATTTCAATAATTTTTTATAAAACGTAGGGAGCTCACAGCAAGAAGCGGTTTGCGATGGTGAGCTGGTTTGGGTAGTTCTATCGAATTATGAAATAAATTTTTTTGTGATATAAGCCCATTCATTAAATGTTTACTTCAGTAAAAAAAAGATTCAAAAAAGGTATGGAGTTACTCATATTTGTCTAACAGCGTTTTTGGTATTAATTTGTCTTTGTCCTCGTCTTTGTCTAAATAAAACTAGCCCTGTACCAAATTGTTTTGAATTTAGTTTCCCACTATAAAATATCTTGCATAAAAAACATAGATACTGAAAAGCATCATATTTTTCAGCGAGTTATGTTCTGTATAGCTCAAGACATGGATTATCTTTGGTCTAAATTGAACAAAGAGTATGCCATAAACACACTCATGAAAATAATCCACAAGAGTAATTTGAGAAAACCTGTATCTCTAAGTGTAGACATCCTCAGACAGTTTGGAGTTAAAATGGAAGAAAATGAAGAGCACAAAATCCTGAAAATCAACTTAGTCAATGCAACACTTCAAGCAATGTACAAGGCCCCACAAAAACAACACTTAAAAATAAGACGTGCGCCAGAGAGTAGACTAGTCATACATGCTATGTGCTTATCACAAAAAAATACAAATAAAGTATGAAATTCATTGAAAAATTGAACAAAAAAGTCTCAGTGAATTTTTTTAGCTCTATTTGGACTGGGTAATCAACTATTTGCTGAGGCTGATAACTGATCCAAATACCCCAGATTACTCTATCTCCTCGGCCTTACACACCATTGAAATTCTGATATCAGATAACAGGCTGCAATATCAGACACTACATTTCATTCCAGATATTATCATACAGTGTGTTGAGCTTTTCCAGATGCCTAGTTGGATAGTAAGGTATAATTCGAATAATATGCAAATGTTTCAAGTCATTCATTATTTATTTATTCATTTATTTATTTATTTATTTATTTATTTATTTGTTTATTTATTTGTTTATTTATTTATTTATTTATTTATTTATTTATTCATTTATTTATTTATTTATTTATTTATTTATTTATTTATTTATTTATTTATTCATTCATTCATTCATTCATTCATTCATTTATTCATTTATTCATTCATTCATTTATTCATTCATTCATTTATTCATTTATTTATTCATTCATTTATTCATTCATTTATTCATTTATTTATTTATTCATTTTTCCAGTGAAATTATGGCTTCCAGACAGAAACAAGTTCTGGTTTCTGGTGTAAGGAAATGGTTATATAACAATAATAAAAGTTGAAAGTTGAAATAACATAATCCAATCATCTATTCGTTCAGAAATGATAAATTTTTATTCAAATTTGAATTTGTGTATTATTCCTGTGAATATTGTTTATATCATCGGCTAATTTTTTATTTTCAAATAAAGCAGCGTGGGTGAATATTTTTTGTCCTATAGAAGAGTTAGCATCATCAAGATAAAATCAATCATGTTGTCTAGTTTAGTGATCATCAATTTCATAGTTTCTTATTGAAATAAAATTGGATATCAATCTTTTATTCAGCGATATTGTATGAAATTTTCCTACATTCAATTTTGAACTTTTCATCAAATGAGAATCTTTATGTTATTTCATATAATTGATTTGTTGATATATCATAACATTGTAAAGGATGCAGTATTTTCAGTGCCTTTCCATATAATACAGATATTTTATTGAAAAGATTTTTTGAACAGTTTCTCCAAACATTTATCAAACAGATAACACGGCGACGTGAAAGAATTATATTTGAAACTTTTTTATCGTTTTTAGGACACCTTCTCAGGTGTCCAATAATAACAGAAGATATTTTTTTCTTGAATGTATGTTTGTCCCACTTCGAATGATAATGCAATTTTCTCTATATTTCAGAAATGCAGATTTGCAGCTCGCCAAAGCACTGATAGAAAGAATATACGGAGTGTCTATGAATTCGTTAGACAGACCGAAAAACATTGAAGACCTCTTCATATTGTTTCCTCAACTTTCCACGTACTTTTTCAGAATCTTATCCTCCGATATTTTAGAAGAGCGAGCTGTTATCGTTCTCCAGTTTTTCTCGGAGTCGCAAGTCAAAAAACATTTATTCAACGACCCTGTAACTGAGATTTTGGATTATTTCCGAATTTTATTCATTCATATCGTCAAGAATTATGAGAATCACTATGGTAAGTTGGCAGTACGATCTTATGTTTCTCTTTGTCTAGCTCAATATATTCCTGAGGTAATATGTGACGTCATATATTATGTTGGAAATAATTTTGCTTGCATTAAGAAAAATATTTTGTCTAATTTCATTTTTCTGCTGAAGGAGTTAGTAAACAAATATGAAGGTTCTTTTGAAAACGTCGTTAATCCTCGAGGTTTAGGAAAAATACATTGTTTGTTGAATAATTTCGCCAAAGTCTTGCGAAAGTATGAAAGCAATCTTTTTGATTTTCTGCTTCTGAAGGTGCAACCTAGGAATTTTATTTTGAAATGTTTGAATGATGATACTTACATAGGTAATAGTTTGCTATTACATAATAATCTACCTTTCTTAGTAATAAATACAAAACCTGATGAAATCTGTGATATTTTGGAAAGAGTTCTGTTCAAAAATATTCCAAACTTTATGGAAGTGAAAATTTTATCAATTTTGATTTCCAAATATGAAAACGGGGAATTTTCAATTGTAGATCAACTGAATATAATTAAAGTGTTATTTAACAAAGCTCTCAACTTAGATAAAAACAACAACCATACTCTAACCTGTTATTTCAAAGTCATATTAGTTTTTATGCAAAATTCAGATGACATTAAAATAGATCTGGATATTATTCCTGTCAAATCAAAAAATTTGTACAAAACAATGATTTCCGTTTTATATGTATCAGCCAACAACCATATCTCCAAAGATGTAATCGAAGTTTTATATTCCAACTTTGAAAAACAATACTTCGAATCAATTTCTATCAATGAAGAAGTTGACAATGATATTGCATCTACTTTGATATTTTATTATCAAAAAGTTCCACAAAAGTATTGCCTGGGACTTGCCAAAATGGTGGTATATTTTTCACTGCTTAGATCTACTCACTACGAAATTTATTATTTCATTACTTCCATTACTGAAAAAAGCTATACGAGTTCTTTGGGTGCTTTGAAGGATTTTTTATCCATGGAAAATTTGAGGGAGTTCATTGGAGATGAAGAAAACTTGAAATTATTTTTTGCTAGTGTCAGTTACTACTTGAATGAAAACAATGAAATATCAAGAGAGTTAGATGACTTTTATGCTATTGAAGGAGATGAGCTGATACCAAAAAAGTTTCTTTGTAAGATATTGAGTAGAATATGTCCAAAAAATATTCATGAAAAAACGGCTACTTAACTATACCTACCAGATTTTCATTTATAGTCATTGTTTGGGACCTATAATCTCCCAAAGTTGAAAAAAATCCAATACCCACCTCCTCTTCCTATCCCCTATAGGTACGCACGATGTTCTTCGAACATTATAGAGATTGAAAAATGATCGGGTTGTGATATCGAACAAATCAGAGTGTGTTCTTTTTTCCATTTCAAATCAAAAACTTTAAACTATGAATATGGTTTAATTAATATGAACTTCATGTGATGCACTTATTGAAACGCAGATTAGTTAGATTATATCTTTTAATTATTACTACGATTTGTCATTTGTCGGTTTATTTGGAGAATCAAGGCAATTAGTAAATGAAAATACAAGGTGATTCTGAATATAATCAACAAACCTCACTTTCAATATCTTGAGTTTTAATTTTCAAAACATTACAGAACTTGAACATTAATATTGTGTAGTATCTAGATGAAATTAATTTCAAGACATTTACATTGATAGAAACTGAAAATGAAGAAAGGAATATGGAATTGGAGTTTGTCGGCCTTATTTCTGGCTCACCCCGTATACTCTTCACTAATACATTCATGTTACTAGTCGAAAAATAATCTCAATAAGTTAAATACTAAGTTATCTTGTGTATAGTAATTGTCCACTTCTTTGGCATTATTAAAATAGGTACCTACCTACCTACCTACCTACCTATATATTTACATTTAGTTGCGACTAATACTATAATTTAAGTGTTATATGCCTGTGACTTTTGCAGTAAAATGATATATATTATTTCCTTGGGAAATAATGGTGTTCAAGAGGGAATAAGAAATGAAGAATAATGAATGATATATATGTCATTTTACTGCAAAAATCACAAGCAAAATACTTAAGTAATATTAGTCGTAAAGGCAGTACAGTGTACTACTCGCAATAACGGCTATTATTCTCTCAGAATAATAGCTATCATTATTAACCCTGATGATACAGTTTTATCAATAATACATGGTTGATAAGTCTTCTGCACACGAATTCATGTTTAAATCGTTCTGATTGGGATGCATGGTCATGATGTTGGATACTGAAACAGGTGCCAAAAATACTTGTCCTTCAAAACTTGGGCACTCGAAATCTTCAGTGAGTATGGTTTTCTGAAAGAACATGTAAGTGTTGTAATCACTTGTACTTGAATTAAATTTGTTATTGAGTACTTACTGTTGATTTTTTGTGAGCTATACAGAACGTGCAGACTTGATGTCTGTTCGAATTCGAGGTTTCTTCTGCTGTTTTCATGAGCCTCAAACATGGTTGATCCATTGGGCCTAGAAAAATATTTTGTATCGTTGAATTCAATCGTCTTTCGTAAATATAACTGTTGTCATTAAAGAACGTTAGTGGGCCTTGTAATAGTTCATTTCGATGTCATATTTTTCTAAATTCGATGAAATTTTGGAAATAAACCACCGAAAACAAACTACAAAGTCACCAAGATGGAGTAGAACATTCATGAAAGATGACATTTCCAAAATGTAAACCCAAAAATGACGCTACTACGTATATAAAATTATCTCGCTATAATTCGAAAACGCAAATACATATATTAATATAAAGGATATTAAGTATTGGCCCGAAAATGGAACCTTGAGGGAGTCTGCGTTTTTTTATGGAGTTGAACTTTTATATAATCCTACTTGTCTTAGAATTAGTTCAATGAAAAAGTATTTGTATACAGTGTGACACTATTGAGAGTTGAGACCAAATCACCTTGAGAAAAGCCTGATGTTACTTTAATTTTATAGGTAGTCATTTTTGGGTGGGTTCTTACCTGCAATGAGTTGAGTTCCTAAATGTGAAATGTAACTAGAAGCTAATCGTAGCGTCTCTATTTTGCTCAGTTTTCTGTCTTTCGGTTCTGTGGGTATCAGGGTTCTGAGTGTCGAAAACGCTGTGTTGACGCTGAAACATGAATTACTAATTTTGAATAAAGACGTATTCAACCTTTTCAAGTGAACAGCTTCGAAGTAGGTACAGTCGTCTTCAACGAACATGTCGTCGTTGGACGGTATGAGCGCTCTAATTGCAGCTGTGATCAAGGAAGCACCGTCCATGTGCGACATGATCTGTGAAGACGACTGTACATTTATAATTGAAAAAGAAAATAAGATGGCAATTTTTTTATAAATGTACTAGATGTTTCACTTAAGTTGATACCCCTCTCGTTGACTATTTAAAAAATCATTTGAATTTGAAAAAAAGTTTATAGGAACATTTTGATGTGTTAAGTTGAGAAAGAGAGAGAGTTTTATTTAAAAAAAAAAGTGTAATTATCTTCAATTTCTTTTCAATGACTAACAGTTTTTCGAGCTGGGTTGGAACGATGTATTTTCACCCTGAAACTTGTGTACATTCTTAAATTGTAATACATATATCTTTGGTACTATAAGTTTTTCACTCGAGTCGATTCCCTTTCCTTTGAAATCGAAATCAGAAAAAATCATTAGAATTCATTTCATACGAACATTTTGATGGGTGAGTTTTATTTGAAAAATGAATGATTTTCTGCACTTTTTTATGATTACCTAAACAGTTACTTCAGCTGGGGGTAGCCAAATATATAGGGTGTTTCAGATTTTAATCCTTTAATGAAATATATAAAAAAATCATTGGGAATCGTCATATATGTTTCATCTATACGTGTTTTTGAAATAAATTCATGTATTCAGCACATCAATATGATAGAGACTGATTAATATCCCTAAAACATAAGATTTTTCCTAATTCTTTCAATTAACGAGGAATTTCATCTTGAAAATTCAACAAAAATGGAAAAGAAATCACTTATGCAACTCCGAGACAATTTGAATAATTGAATTCCGCGTAATTGTCTTCCTCACGAAAATGTGTACAGAGGTAACGTCAGAAAATTCACAGGGCAGAACTTTGGGCAGAAAAATGGGTCTCACCCCAAATTTTATTCTGATTCTAAAATTTGTTTTTTGGTGTCATTCGATTGTATACGTCGAGCTTTGTTTGGGTTTGAAATATTTATATTTATCTCAATGTCACCCTGTATAATTAAAAATACTCTGCCTCACTAATGTAATTCATTTTGGCATATCACCCAGTATTTTTGCAATTTTTCAATACTCTTCGAGTAACTCAAAATACGACTTCTTCAACTTTGGAGTTTGTTGTATGTTGATTTGTTGAAAAAAAATAATAAAAACCAAGCATTTGCTTGTCTCTGAACAAAATTAAAAATATAATCAAAAATTGCCGAACAGTTAATTTATTGCTTCCAGATAAATCAGAAGTGATATTTTTCAATACTCAATTTCAAAGGATTTTAATATTTCTTGCTCTCTTTTTGGGTTTTCAACAGATATAATTTAATATTCGACGTGGCAAATACCCAGAAAAGTAGTTGTTTTCTGTTGAATATTCAGAATGATATTATGTGCAAATAATACATATATTTTTACCTGAAGGAGAGAATGCAAATTCTCTACTTTAGAAGATTTAGTTTTCAAACTCTTATCGTGTGTATTCAATAGATACAAATCAATGTTCGTCGTGGCATATAGCCAGGAAAGTAGTTGTTTTCTGTTGAATAAACTTGAACGATGGAAACTTGTTATTTTTATAAACCTTCAATCGCAGATTCGTGATAAGGTTTCCTCAATTTAGAATTTTTCTCCAAGTCCTGCATGATGAATATCAATTTGCCATACATCCAAAAAGATTTTCTTATTTCTCAAAAAAGATAGAATGATTTGGACCGCTCCTTGTATAAAAAAAACTGAATACCTGTGAGTCCTGTCTCTCTCCCTGGCATTCGCCTGGCTCCTCTGCCTGACAGGTGGCTCCGCCAAAAAATCCCCGCCTTCTAGATGACAGGATTTCCTCCTTTTGGCCCGCTGGCTCATTTCCTTGCCCATTTTTCCGAAATGCTGTTCGCTCATTTGGCTAGCGAACTGCAAGAACTCCATCTCACTGCGAATTCCACACTGGGAACGGCAATTAAGTTAACTAGTCAGTAGTTTAATTGTTTTCGTTAAATTGTCGACAGTCAAAACGCACAATTTCATCTGACGATCGTAGCTGGTCGGCTGTTTGGGACTAAATAAACGGGATCAAAGAGAGCTACAAGTGTTTCTAACGCGGCTTGCCCACAGAGGCAATTAGTCAATTTCGATATTTTTAACAGATGCTGGTGAGTAACGCCTATTCGGGATTTGTCTTGTGGTGTGGAGGAAGTCGGTGGATTTTCACTTATAGTATCACGATAGCTTCAATTAATTCCGGAAATTTTTTTGAGAATTTTCGAAATATTCGTGTTCGAGAAAAAAATTCCCGATATTAATTGAAGCTAAAGTGGTATTCTGTAAGAAAATTCACACTGAAATATCATTAACAAATCACTTGGATACTGACGATTTTTGATGGTTTGATGTTAACTATAATAATAATAATAAACTTTATTTTCCATTTGATAGTTGGAAAAACCATATAGGGATAGTCAAGAGAACAAAACAGTGAAAATGTTGAATAATCTTTAAGGGAGTAGTAACATGATGATGTCAAGAATTCATTGAATTGGCTTTTGAAACAGTTAATCTTCACGATATTCTTCAAATTATTGGGAAGTCTATTGAAAAGCTTTAGTGCTATAAAATATGGTGCGTTCTCTCCGATTTTGAGTTTTGCAAAGGGTACATAATAATAATTTTTCTGCCTAGTGTGATAATTATGAAGGTCACTATATTTGAATTAAGCTTCTCCTTATTCCTAAAAACAAACATACACATTTTAAATATATTAATACCAGTGACAGTTAGGATTTTGCATTCCTTGAAAATCGGTTAAATCCTGGGAATAATTGATATTTGTAGGACAAACTAAGAGATATACCAAAACATGGTTCATAGAACATCTCTCCGTTTCAAATAAAAAAGTTGTAGTCATACTTCTTTGGTCAAACAGGTAGTTATGAAAATCATTCGTAGGTTCAAAAAAACATTAGGAATTGATCAAGTATCTCCTCTGAGTTCAAAATCTGTATGGTTTGAATACATAGAGGATCTTTTTGATGTCATGGTAACGATAATAGTTGTCAATTTTCAGTCACCAGGCTAATTTTTGGCCAATTTGTATGTTATTCAGACTGAAATAATGTAAATTACATTGAAATTCTAAAGAAATGGGTGGAAGTTATTCCGTTTCTTGAAAATATTCGGTCTGTTGGATTCATTATAGTAATAATTTCAATATTTCAATTCCGTATATCATGATCTCATGATTCTTATTTGCATTCATCACTCAATCTGTTTTTCTAATCATAATCCATCACATTTTTTAGAACGCAGTTAAATCTGTCGCCATGTTTTTATTGAGAAGTATAAACAAAAATATAGCATATGTGTTGAAAAATAAATTGATTATGTTTTCGAGAAGAAGTGAGAGTATAGGAATTTGACTCTATAATTATATGCTTTTGATATTTCCAGTCTATGAGTCTATTACCTAATCCCAAAAGCAATCTTCATAAAGTCTTGGAAGATAGTTTTTTGAAAATCTCTAGGTAATTTACCATATTCTTGTAGTGGAAACTTATGTAAAAATATACAAGAAGAATCTGTATCATAAAATAAAAATGTCACTGTTGAAAATTTCAGATATATTCTGACGACGAGACTTTCAGAATTTCAGAAAAAAAAAAAGAAAGTTCCCACGTATTTATAAAAAACTAGATAGTGTCAAACATAGAAGTCGGAAAATCCCTAAAACTCCTTTGTCTCATTAGCTCCATTTCGTACCAATATATAATAGATAACAGCGGCATTTTCGATTTCGTCGTCTTGTAGCTTCACATTTGACATTCCATGAGCGATGAGATTTTTTTGAAATATTAACACATTGGAGTCATTGTGATATCAGATACGGAAATGATATTGATGACATACAAAGTACCTCATTGACGTATCGAACACAGTAAAAAAGAGCAATTTTGTGTTATATATATTGGATCTTTCTTTTATTTTATTCAGACCAGGGAAGAGTCCCTCTTATCCTGATATCTATTATGGAACAAAATAAAAACGGTATTGAAGTTTGATGCGAACAGCCCTTCTGTCCCAAATAAGTTTCAGAAATACATTCTGAGAATTGAAAGAGATCGAACGGAATACATAAATATCATAAACTTGAGAATAGTAAATTTGGTCATAATGTCGTTATTTTCCCTAGTTTATGGACAATCTCGGTCTTTTGAACTTTGATTGATCACCTGGGTCATAATCAACTGCATTTCGAAGAAGCTGATTCTCATGAACCTCAGCTTTCTCGAAAGTCTTGATGTTTCGTTCTTTAATGACTGACACGATTGATGGGAGTTTCAGATCCCTGGCGATCTGGTTATTCCGAACATACCAAGGAGATCCTGTCACCATTCTCGCGATTTTGTTTTGTAATGTTTGTAATCTGGTGATATGAGATTTAGCTGTGTGGCCCCAGACTACTGAGGCATACAGTAAAATTGGCCTGATAGCCATGATATAAATATTCAATTTTTGTCTCAAACCCAATTTACTACTGCTATGGAAAGTAGTACATTTCTCATAGCTAACTGAGTTTCAAAACCATGTGTTGGTCATACTGTGAGAAATATTTTTTTTCTCACGGCACTTTGCCAACACCACATACATTTCCATGGAGAATCAACAAAAATCGACCAAAACTAAGCTGCTGTTCAGCTTTGAATAGTTGTCACAACTGTCAGAAGAAGTTTTTTAAATTCTTTAGGGTAGTTCTCATTAGAGTCCCTGTATATACCTAAGGTATATACAGGGACTCTAGTTCTCATTAGTGCTTTTGATAGAAATCGCATTTTCCATCAAATATATTTCCAACAATTCAAATAATAATATGATGTATATACCGAAATAATTGATGAATACACCGCCAGAGACAGAGATATGCAAAAAGTTTTTCAATGTTTTATGTTTCGTTTCTGAGATATCAATTTTTGATAGTTTTATCCGAGGTAATAACCCTATAATACCTGTAATACTGTAAACTCAAAAAAGCATATCATAGTCAACATATTCAAAATTGTGTGAGTAAAATAAGATCCGAATTAACGGAACTGTTTTCGAGATATCCAATTGAAACATGTTAAATAATCTTCAACAAAATCTAACACACCCTGTATCTAAATGAAAGGCAATATTGAACAACTGAATGCGCTAGTGAGTTACCTCAGCTTTCATTCAATCAACAGTATCAATCAATCCCTTTCTTTGTGATCAAAAACAAGCTGTCAATTGTTTTCCAAAAGGGGTATAACACAAAATTCAAAGAATTCATATTTCGAACAGAGATAGTTATCAAGAATCAGAATACGTTTTCTTAGCCTACATGAGACTACAACTATAATGTCTTATCGAAATATAACTTGTTGGTTTTGGAATAGTGCTCGAATTTTTTTTTTTCCGAAAAATGAATTTTTTGACCGTGCCTCGTATTCACCCTGATTTACTATAGTTTATGTGATCATAACTAGACATGTATTTGAGTTCCGATCAATACATTTTCTAGCTTATTTTGTCTTATTTATACCATTTTATACTAAAGAATCAGTTTTTATTCGTCAATTCTACCCCGATACGACGTTTTTACGAACTTTGTCGGCTTATATCTCAGAAACTAAACATACAAAACTTTTCAAACTCGCATATTTTCCCAATGAGCCATCCCACAATAAAATAGTGAAATTTCAGCCAATTCGACCGAGAGCCAATTTACCGTGTTTTCGTGCGGGGTCCTTTCAAGAAAAAAATATGAATTGGCATTAACGAAAAATTTATGGAATCTAAAAAAATACAGGAATAAAATATTTTTCGGAAAGTGTACTTTTTTGAAATACTTTGAGGAACTAGGAAAGGTCACAATATTCAATGTGGCATAGTGCCACATTATAAAATGGATACCAATGAGCTACATTATTTGGATTCTTTGAATAAGTGCAGTTCTAGAAAAAGTATAGTGTGCAACATGTGAAGAAAAGCACTTTTCCCACTTCTTTCACAATATACTATTTTCTATTGTTCAATCTGAAATAATAATTATTTCAATTTTCATTAAATAACGGATATGCAAGTTCATAGTAATGAAACGCTCAATCTATTTGTAGGCGCAGATATTTCTAAAACAATGCTCATATTCACTTAATGAAAATAACCATATTATCGCGTTGCTTTTGCATTTTTAGTAGAGCGAGACTGATGTGCTCAGATGAAATCTCAATGAAGTTTATATCTTGTAAACATAAATGATTGAGGCAATTTCGTTTAAGACATACATGCTCGCATAATGAATATGATGGTCATATCGATTTTTAATTTAGGGCAATGATAATTCCTATTGAAATTAATTCAATTTTGATCGTTCTGATTGAAATAATCAATTTGAACTTCTGAGCCATTATAAAGTACAGGGTGCGTCTCTTAAAATGGAACCCCCCCCTTAACTCTTTTGTTTTCAGAGATGTGAAAAAACTTTTAATCAAAAAGTTGTTTGAAACGACCCAAACTTTTATTTCGTGAAGTTGCTTCATATACAGGGCCATTCGTCTTTTCCGGAAAGGACATTAACTTTGATTTTTCAATGGAACACCCTATATATATTTTCTTACACGTCGATAGAGCATTTTTTCTGATTTCAAAAATATACAGTGTGACCCACTTCTAATGGAAACAGTCCTGTATCTTACGTAATCGTTGGGTAAGGATCCTGAAATTTGCTGGAGTGAGAGACATACCAGAAAAGCATTCTATGACCAAGTGGGGTCATCTTCAGTGATATACACTGCTCGCCAATAGCCATGGAAACACCCCAATTTCTAGAAAATGATATTAGGAGTCGAAATAGGTCGAAATTCACTTCAGATTCGGAATCAGGATGCCCAATTCTTCAAATATTCATATTATTC